AACGTAGCTGCCCTCCTTTCTAACAAGACTCATGCGGTTATAAACCAGTTTGATCCTGATAAATTTCCAGCAGCATCCTATGACGAAGAAACTCACCACCTGTTCGTTATTATGCAACATGTGGCTGTGAAACAACATGCTGCTGCCCAGGCCTGCATCAGCTCCATGATGTCAGCTCCCTGATAGCATCATACTGAGACCTGCACTTAATGCCCAGGTCCTTTGTTCTTTTATAGAGACCATTAAATTAGATGTCATATGTACACTTCAAACGTAAAGGTTCCTAAATGGTTCTTGGCTTCAAAGACCTTTCATTTCTATAGAAAGTTTAAGTATGTGGAGGGTCTTTTATTTTAAAAAGCTTCCTGGCACATCTCATTTACAAAAATGGTTACGGCACAATACCACTTTTTATTTTTCAATACCTACATTGAAATCTTGAGTGTCAGCTGATACTGATACAGAAAGCTAGACAGATGTGAAAATTTTCACTGGCATATCGGGACACCAAGTCAATGAATCTTGTGGCCAAAATGAGAACTCTCTGGCCAGCATTATAGCAACTGTATATACACTGTATTTTATTGTATATGCACTGTATTCACAAATGACTCTGTTCCAAAACCAACCAGGTGTTGTGTTTTGAGTCCCCTACATCCACTCCAATTTTTCCCATCATAGCAGTCAAACCAAAGACTGACACGAAGGGATCCCTGTTTTTATTATATAGTCAGGTTGTCTCAGATATAACACGCTCGACAGAACATCACATTCTTCCTGACATCATACTTAAGCCACACAAATTCTTTTTTCCACTCATCTTTCAAGTTTCTAATTAGATTTTTTGTAGTTATCATCTACATCTGATTCTGAAGGCAAAGTTATATGTTAACAAATAGCAGTACTTATGTTAACCATACAGCTGCAGTTGACGAATTCCAAAAATTACTGACATGCTGTACCAAACAGGCTTTGGAACTCATGTGCATGTGAAACACAACTCGTCTGGTTCTGGTGGTTAGTTAAAAGGGAAAAAAACCACAAAAAGGCAAGTGGCCACTAGGGCTGACAGATTAATTATTTTTATATATTGAAATCGCAATGTGAATGAGTGCAATTTTGACATTGCAAGAGCTGCAATTTTAATTGTAGCCTATATTATCAACAAAGCTGTCTCTATGGGTTTTAATGGGAAAAACTAATAACACAACCCTTGAACCCATGAAAACAACCCTGTCAGAATGTGTGCTTGATGCAAACAAACTGATGAAGCAACAAACTAAAAGGCCTGGCTTTGTTCCTATAGCCCCTCCAGTCTCTTCAAAAGGTTCACACAAGTGCTCTGTGATGTGATGCTATTATTAGGTTCCTTACACAGTCTGTCTGAGCCCCTTTTATTATTATTAGCTCCAATTTTTCACAGCTTTTACTGGCTGATCACATCACTCAGTTTTTTTTTGTTTCACACTGCATCTAGTTCTGAAATGTGCACAGGGGAAAGACAGACTGCTAAATATAGCAAGAGCAGCACCAGCACAACAGAAGCGCTCTGCAATCTTTCCAACAGCCCCGAGAAGACACACTGACGGCCAGAGATTCTCATTTACCAACCACAATCATTTCAATCATTTCTGCAGCATCTGAATTATCTCAATCTTGAGAAAACAGAAAAACAAGACAGCCACGGCTTGATTGTCTGAGAGCCTGAGAAAAAAAGCAGGCGCATGATAATTAGCGTGATTACCATTTAGCTGAGTCTCTCTGTCATTTACTTTGAGCAAAAGCTATTTCTAAAACTGTGAGAGAAAACCACTTGAAGTGAGTTAACACTTTGGTACCACAGGCCTGAGACACAGGAACAGCCAAAGAGTCATGAGAAACTGACTTCCACTTGAGAGGGACTGGAAAATTCTGTCTGAAAAGCACGGCAATATGACAAAGGCAATGGGCACATGGATGGATTAGTGCCCGTAAAGAGGCAGACAGGAGTTACAGTGAGGGAGAAAATTCAGGGAGTTCTCCTTCTAGGCCATTAACACCTTACTATTCACACCATAGGCACCTTTAAAAATTAAATGTAATCAGTTACAACTGCAGTAAAAACACAGTAATCAGATTACAGGTACATTATAAAAACAGGATTACAGTAATTACCAGCAGGATTACATTCAAATGCAAACTTGCTTCCTTTTATCGAACTTCACTTTTTTAATGCAAAATATGTTGCATGAGTCGAGTAGATTTAAAGAGTTTTAAAGAGCGCTGCTGCTGCCAGGAGAGAATTCTGAAGACTTCCAATCTTTAGAATTTTTATTCTTTAGTATTTTGTATTTATTGGCAGAGCTGAGATCTGCAGCGTTTTCCTGAAGTTATTTAAATCAGGCATTTAACCTGGATTCCCACATTGCCAGATTCTACTGCAGCAGACCTACCTGATTGGCAGTAAACTTTATGCTCGCTTGTTGCTCCATAAAATTCTACAGCTTGACCGGCTATATATCAAACTTTTGAAAACCTCTGTGGACTGAAACCACTGAGCGTCGAAAAATTACGTTCTTCAAAGTCCAAGCTCAACGCACCAACATGAAACCTGTACAGCCTTTCAGCAGATAGAACACGGACAATGGCCAGTCAGAGTTTTTAGAACGGCCTCTATTTGCGATTATTGTTGATGAGGGGTCTCAAAAGAACATTTCTACCAGACTCATCTTTTGACATTGGCATGAAAGTCTCAGGACAGCAGTATAGTTTTTAACTATTTTATATGTGAACTATGCAAATCTGGATCACTGTACATCAGTTACTTGTTCCCCTGTGTTTTAGTTTCAGTGTACCGATTTTTTTAAATTTTCCTGTTAAAATCACTTTTTTCCTGAGAAGCAAAGCTTGATTTCTGAACTTCAAGGTTTGAGTATACACGTCTTAAATCAAAACAAATATATCTTTTTCTTATTTCATATATCAGGTTTGGCCATTGAGACCAGTGACTGTTTCTGTGTGACACAATATTTAAGTCACCTATAATCTATCATTCTGTTTCAGAAAAAGGTTTTGTGTTGGACGTGTTAAGTCACGAAAATATCTTCAAATATTCTGATGTCATGTTGTTTGCCACACTGCCCATCCTTATCAAGAAAAAAAGCACTTTAACAGCTTTTCCTTTTACAGAGATTTGAAGACATGAATTTAGCTCTTCCAAACAGATCTAATGTCTCTTTGCCTCGTATAGAAAGCAGATACGTAAACAAACGGAGCGACTGTAAGCACACAGGTGTCGACTTTGAATACACAGTGTCAAGGACCCACACCTTCTGGCTCTCGTTTCACATCAGGGGAGGGTTTACATGGTGCTGCAATGTACCTGCACCTCATTAGAAATAGTACACAGTCTCAACTGACATAGGCTTCTCTGGTTTGAAAATGCAGACAGAGATAAGCACAAGTATTAAACATAGGACCTGCACTTAGAGTACACTGAGGACTATTTTCTCGGACATGGATTAAGCCTAGTCTTGGTATAATACTTCTTACCAACAGTTCTGGCATAATCTTCAACAGTTTCTCATATGGGATTAATTTCCAAAAACATTAATGTGACAGCTTGAACATGAAACTATGCCCATCCCTAATTGTGTGCAAACCGGTAGGATAGGCTTAGAGAATCCCTCTCCGTTCCGTTTTACAGCAGTTTTTTAATGGTTTCTTTTTGTGGTAGTCTGTATGCTTTCAAGGAAGTACCAAAATAAATTTTCCCAAAAGCGACAGGTAGGTGGACAAGCCCACAAAGCTGACCACAGAACAAGAAAACAACACGCCAAGCACAGGGAAGAACTTTTTCCTCCCATCGCTGTGGCACTGCAAATTAATAGAAAGTTAATACAAGCTGATCCAAGACCTACAGGGAAACCCAGGTGGGTTCAAACCTTACAGACAAATGTCAGCCCACCTGCTGTTTATCAGAAGAAAAAAAAACAAGGAAACAGACAATACAAAGTTAAATAAACAAAATTTAAAAAGGCCTGACTGTCACACTATTCCATAGTTTTTAAAAACAAAGCCTGTGTAGTTCACTGAAAGTCCCCTCATGCACTTTCATGAGAGTTATCAGAGTATCCCTGGATAGTGAGCATTCCTGTGAGTTGCTCATGAAAGTTATAGTGTTTGCGAGTATTTATAAGTGTTTATGAGAGTTCTGGACTATTTATAAGTGTTGAGATATATTGTGTATATTTATATTTATTTGAGTGATAAAGTATTCACGACTATTTACAATGACTTATGAGAGTTGTACAGTCTTTGTGAATCTTTGTTTGGGAGTTATAGTGTATTAGTGATTTGTTTGAGTTATAGAGTATTCATGAGTATAAGTGTTTATAAGAGTTATAGAGTATTCACAAGTCTTTTAGTGTTTATGATAGTTACAGAGTAATCATGAGTATTTATAAGTGTTTTTGTGTTCATGACAGTTTGAGTATTTGTGAGTATTTATACGTTTTTAATTCTTACAGATAATAAATGAGTATTTATAATATACATTTATCAGAGCTTTTAATTATTCTAGAGAATTCCTGAGCGTCTATTAAATGTTTATTGGAGTTATGGTGTATTTCCGAGTTATTATACATGTTCATGTGTGATCACGAGTGATCGAATACTCATAAGTTTGTATTTGTGAGTTCTAGAGTTTTACTGCGTGTGTATACATGTTAATGAGAGTTCTAGAACATTCCTGAGTGTTTATAAATGCTTATATGGGTTCTAGAGCATTCCTGAGCGTTTACAGATGCTAATGCGACTTCTAGAGTATTTTCAAGTGTTAATAAGTGTTCATGAGATTACAAGGGCATTTTTGAGTGTTTCTAAGTCTAAAGTATTCCTGAATGTGTTTATAAGTGTTAATGGGAATTCTAAAGCATTCCTGCGTGGTTATGAGTGTTTATTCGAGTTATGAAGTACTTCTGAATGTACAAAGTTTCTTTGTCTGTTCTTGAGGCTCTTACCTCCAGTGTGTGGATCTCCTGCTGGGTGAGGTGACACGATGCTGTGCACTTGGTGCGGAGTCCCTTCAGGCTGCAGATGGAGATGTCGATGATGTTCTGAAGAAGCTGGCACTGCTGCAGGGCTGCTGCTGCCATGTCCGAGCTGCTGCCCTCCCCGTTAGCCATCCGTCAGCTTGGGGCACGACGGGCTCTGTACACACATGCTGAACACATACACTGACACTAACCGCGCGGAGCTGAGCTGTGCCGAGTGAGGAGTCTTCCTGAAGGAGAGCACAATGTACAAAACGCGACCTACATCAGTCAAAACCTCGTCTTCGGGGTCTGAAAAACACTGTCCTCCACACTAAATGGACCTTCAGTCAGCCAGCGTGGTCAGCTCTCGTGTACATGTGAAGTGCCGAAGATCCTCAAGTGTCTCTCCGCTCCTCAGCTCCTCGCTCACTTTCTTCACTTCAGGAGACGTTAGTAGCAGCCGGAGGTGCAGTGCATTGTAGGAAATGTAGTTCTCCTGAGGGTGTACGTCTCGGACTTTTTTCATATATATATATATATATATATATATATATATATATATATATATATATATATATGTATGTATGTATGTATACAAGCACAAGCATTATTACAATTAATTGTATTATTACAATTAAAGACATCCATATTAAAGATAAATTACAGATATTATTAGTCACCAACATCAACCAACCAAAAAACAATGACACTTCAGTCTTCCAGAAATCTCTGACTGCAGAAACAATTCGATTTGACTACAAATCCTTAGCAAATGATTCAGTGCTGCATGAAACCTTACATTTCACCTGGAGTCGATTTGATTATTTTGGTGCGATTCAAAGATATTTTTAAAAATAAACCTTATACACAAATGTGATTGAAGCTGTTTACACATAAGTACAATGTAGACAATAAAACAATACAGCAAATGTTTTGAAATAGCAATAAAAGAGCAATAAAATTTCATTGTGGCCCAGAAATAAGGACATCCTAAATTAAACAATATTGTAATCAATTACAATTGATTATAACTTCTCAAAATAGCGGAAAAATTTCACCTTTAGGTCAATACATTTCACCTCTATGCAGCGGTGTAACCAGGATCTACAGGGCCCAGTACAATAAATAAATAAATAAATAGATAGATAAATAAAGAATTAAAAATGACACTACAACTTGCTTATCTACTCACTGTTGTTATGTCAAACCACTTGATGCCGTCACGGCATACCACTCCACCCACTAGCATCTAACAGTAACCCAAATGTTTATGTGAGACTGCCTATTTAAGGCTGTAGACTTATAAATAATGCATATATTTGTTGCAGAAGGATCGTTATTTGAAAGCGGTTACCGTGGATTCATTATGAATAAGAGGAGGATAAACAGATGTCAGGGCTGTCTGTGTTGTGCTGGAAGTCATGTGAAAAATCACTTTCAAAAGCAACCAACTGGACTATGAAAGATACAATCTCTGATTCTCTCTGACTTAAGAAAGTCTTTTGGCATCCGTTTGGTGTCAAATTGAAAGAAAAAATCTGAATATCTTTTTCATCTTACTGGCAATTCTGTCAAATCTCCCTCTCTTTCTCTCTCTCTCTCTCTCTCTCTCTCTCTCTCTCTCACACACACGTTATTGTTGACTCACAGATTTCCCATGATGTCATCAGTCCTACTGCACAGGCAGCATGAGAGCGAGAAAAGCATTCTCATTATCTTATGTGTGTGTTTTACAGGTCCTGCTTTCTGCCCACCTCTGCAGACAAAAGAGCAGCTTTTCATATTTTCCATTACCTTCTGACGTCAAAGCATTGTTAGCCGTTGAGATGAAGGATGACATTCTGTATGGACACAAAGCTGACCTCAAGCAATAAAGTGTGAAGCCCCAGTATATTTTGTTACAGAATGCATTATATGGTAAAACCTTTATGAGATTACTGCTCATAGTACATGTAAACTGATGAGAGAGATATGTGATAATGTTATGAAGTGCAGCAGAAACAGTTCAAGGGCATAAGGACATGACACGCTTCAGCTCCAGCGTGAGAGACAGGCTGAAGCATGTTAATAATTCCCATGGGAGAATTCTCCTCTCCTCAGCAGCTTGCCAAGAGCTCGCTGTCCCCATGGGGTGAGCAAAAGCAGTGAGCAGACAGTAAGCAGAGTCTGCATGCTGAGAGGATTCTTGCCTGGAGGATTAGTTGAGCCTACATATGAAACACCAATCATTCCTATCTGCTCTCACAAATAGAGGGTGATAAATGACATACTGTAATAATCCGTGACTCAGCCTTGAGCAAGATGCCTTTACAAGAACACACCCCCCAGCCAGCCCAACAGGACAATGGCAGTGCTATTTTTCAGGCCAGACCACATACCTGGTCAAAGAGTTAAATGTAGATGGTTAACGCCCAGCCTCATTTTAAAGTGATGGTTCAGCAAAACAGTAAATATACATTTTTAGTAGTAGATCGGCCAAGACCAAATTTTGCCACTTTAGTTCTAGAGCTATGAGGCCAATTCAGTCAATAATTGATACTTAGCTGGCAATTGGCATCATTCAAACTGCATGCCTAAATCATTACATACTTGCTTCCAAATGCAGAGGCTAATATCATTGATTTTTCAAAATTCCTGCATAATTCGGTTGTTTGAAACAAAGTCATTCAGTGTTTTGATGTGAAATTGATGTGCATTGTAGGGAAACTTACCAAAACTAAAACCTTATCTCAAAACTTTGTACACTCGTAGCCAAAGGAGTTCTATATACTACCAAATTGTAGAACATGTGGAACATTTTTTTGGTGCTATTTAGAACCATTTTTTGTATGAAAGGTTTTCCATGATAGAGAAGAACTATTTAACCATGCAAAGAAACCATCTATGCATTCTGAGGGTTCTTTGAGTGTTCACAGTTCTATATATAACCATTGCCTTTACTCCAAAACCTATAAAAAGCATTTTTCAGGGTGTAAAACAATTTCTCAGGCAAGAAATGGAAATTGTTGCCATTTCATTTAACAGTGGTACCTTTTCCTATCACCACTACTGTGAACAGTTGTGACTTTAACAGACAATTTTCCACTAAACTTTGTTTACAGTATAACAACTGAATTCAGTAGAAATTCTGAAAAATCGGTGGAATTCCCTTATCAGTAATCTCAAACAGACTTACTTATGTGGGTTCTGACACTGCGTGACATACAGTCTACAAAAATGTACAAAGCCATGTCACATAGCTAAACAGTAGCAGCAGCCATCTTGAAGTCTGAGTTTTATAAATATATTTGTCTATTTATATAGATACAGTGTTAAAAAGCACAAAAGCAAGTCTGTATGAGATTACTTAACAACTCACCATGGCTGGGGGCAAGAGTGTGATGATTTATGCAAGCAGTTTGCATGCTGCTAAATTGTTAGCCATCAGCTTGCATTGCTTGTTAGCCTTGTTAGCCCTGTATCTCCAGCAAAACAAAAGAAGCAAACTTTAAACACAAAACTTGTTTTGGCTGATGCATTGGGAGTGCAGGGGAATTTGCGTTGCAAATTTGATTTTTAGCTAATCTATTGCTTTACAATAATCATGACAATTTAGAGCAGTTCGAGCTAAACCCACGTGGGCGGTGTGGTCACAGGTGTGTCCACTGGGAGAGGCTGAGATGGTCACAGTCACATTCCCAACTACATACATTCATTCTTCAGCTTCTTCAGCATTTCTATTCAGGATTATTGTATTATACACATACATAAATGTATGTATTTTAAGGGCCAGGCAGCTTGGTGTGACCTAAATTGCAGTTAACACAGAGTAGCTTGGTGTAACACAAATTCTCATCAAGGGGTGAAGTCCCAAGCAATTTCAGAAAACATCTAAAGTTGATAATGAATATATACTACACATAAGCTTCTAATCATAGGCCCATGTTCACAGCTGCACTGTGTTAGCACTGGCCAAACTGACAGTTGAGTGATTATTGTGTACGGAAGTGGCACCACCTGCTGGAAATGAAAGAACAAGAGGAGAAATATCACTTATGATCACAGCAGTTCACTTCAGTACAATCCTGCTGCTGTTTTCATGTATATAAAGGGCTTAGAGTACAGATTCTGAACTAAGTTTCTTCTCTAACCATTCAGCCTTACTGTGCAAAATGGGAATTAAGAACTAAAATTTCTAAAGTGATTAGATATATGATAATACACCTGCATAAGGAAGGGGAAAGTCAAGGAAAAATAGAAAAAAACAAAAACAGAAGCTTCTATAAGTGGAGTTAAAAAATATCAAGAGAAATTGGGGCTGTTAACAACCATGCAAGACCTGGCTGACCACCAAAACTTTTAGCGTTATAAATAATACCTAAAGCACTCATCTTAGAGAGAAAATTAAGCTCCGCTTTAAGGAGTTTCTGTCTGCTTTAAGGAGTTTCTGCCCATCCTTCCAATATGAGAAGACAATTCAACACTACGAGTCAGAAAGGATGTGTAGCTGTCAAAAAGCCATTACTGTGAAAAGGAACTGGACAAAAAAGGAAGAATATCTGTAAATCAAACAAAGAAGCTGCTGGTGTTATCAGAATCATGGACTGTCCATCCCAGAGTCCAGACCTTAACATCATTGAATGTGCTTAAAAAGCAGAAATACAACCAACTTCTAAGACTGAACGTTGGTGATGTGGAAAAATATCCCTGCAGATTTCTTTGAAAAACTGAAAGGATGGACACTAAATACTGAAAATTTTCACATTATATCAAGTTGTTGTGGCTTAATTTTCTGTTAAATATATACATTCTGCTTTTTTCCTGTTACTGAAAAATAAATAACCTGTACTTAATGGCCATTTTGGCTAAAAACTGAATTAATGAAGGGTGGTCTCTGACTTTCACACCATACTGTACAGACTGTGAGGTGCAGAGATGTAACACCAGCAAAGGAAATGACTTTGTAACCCTCTGTAAGATGGCTTGAGAACAGGAAGTGAGAACAATGGTAGGAAACACCAAAAATGTGTTTTTAATCACTGCTACTTCTCATATGTGCATGAAGGAAGGCAGAGAATAAATACAATTTAGAAAGAAACCTTTGGCAAAAGACATTTTAAGTCACTGTGTGTCTCTTATTGCTTGGTATTTAGTATTGATTGTTTATAGCCTAACATAAAGTAAAAGATGACACAACTCTGCCACATGGAGATTAAAAAATATCAAAGGTTGAATAACGTTCATCGGATCTACCAATGAAAAAGCTGACGATAAATATTTCATAACTCTCTGCTGTGTTGTAACCTAACCACATCCATTTTGCTGAGAGGAACCTTCTGGAAAGTTCTGCCTCTGAATGTGACCTCCTCTGAAATCAGCCACGCTTTCCACAACAATGACAACCAGCGATCAGATCAGCAGCACACCAAAGGTGCAGCCTGCATACTTCGGCTTCTTTTACAGACATTACACAATTTTAATCAGTTCAGTTATTCAGAGAATGTAGTTATTAATGTTGGAGAAATACCAAGGATGAGGAAAATGCAGAATGCTGAAGGAGAGAGTGAGTGAGAAAGAAATACAGATTTTACATTAAAACCTTTTGATTATGATCCAAACAGTTCTCTTTTATCTGTACTTAGTTCATTGTTTTTGCGATGTTACATGTAATGTTACGCATATCTGCCTAAAAGCAGTCCAAAAGCAGTTTGCACCCCCCTCCACCCCGCCACCCCTCCATTCACAGTAAAGTACTAAAGATTGAGTAGCTTGGACTGCTTTTTGAAAGAGGCACAATACAGGGTATCAAATCAGAACTCATTTACACGTGTTAAATGCATAGAAACTACTAGAAAGGGAAAGTTTGTAAAAGAACTTTAAGTTGGCTTGACAAAGTCAGCTGATAATGCTTCAGAAGTCAAAGCAGTCGCAGAACACTGTTGTTTTTGATAGTCTAATTGGGTTTATATAGTAATTCCAGGGGGTTAAGGCTAAGGTGTTGCTAGGCCGGTGCTATGTTTTCTCAGCTGGTGGCTAAGGTGTTGCTAGCATACTTGTATGATGATGACATAAGAGGAGTGTCCAAAAACATTTGCTTACAGTGAGTGTGTAACTACTGTTCTGAAATAAGAGGTAGTTAAGTAAGCATTGTATATTATTAATTATATACTGTAAAAGTGAACCCGCGGCCCAGAGGGATAAGTGGCTTAGAAAGTATGTGTGTGTGTGTGTATAAGTCAAACTGAATGACTCAGTTGCAGGACGTTGCGCATTCCCTTATTCATTCTTATGGAATATTGAGTATAAACAAATGCTGTATGAACTCTGTAGGTCAGAAAGCAACACACAAGCAACCTATTTGGGTACAGTTTCATGGTTCTGGCTCAAAAGCTGTAGGAGGAGTAGCATTGCAAATTCAAAAATTATTTTTGGTACATAAACTCACACAAATATCATATGTGGACCTCAAGGATTTATGCTTAATCTCAAGCACATCTTACAGTAAAGAACTAGGACTCCATAAAAAATGTCTATAAGATTATTATAAGAATCTTGTAGTAAATTGTTTCTTTCTTGTAAAGGCTCTCACCTAAATATCTCAATGTATTAAGGTCAGTTACTTTGTTTCCAAGTATGTCAAGATATTTTATATCAACAATTATCAGAGTAAGACTGTTTGTTCTACACTGAGATACAGATATCGTGTGTATACTCTTGAGATATCGTTAAGAACTGAGCAAATACCTACATATCTAAGAAAAGCACACAAAGCCACTTGAACTGCACAGCCACCTCTTTCAAGGTACGCTGAAAACTCTTTAAATGTACAGTTGTTTGCAAATGTTTGGGCACCCCGGGCAAATGACATGCCACATTTTAGTTATGGCACTTTTTATATATATATAAAATTTGCAGAATAATTGCGTAATTAATTTTGCCCCCTGTAGAGGTGTTAACTTATTTTTACTTTAAATCACTGTCATTTGACCAGGGGAGTTCAAATTTTGCATACGACTGTATGTACAAGCAGAGAGAGATATTAAATGCTAAATGGTGTTATATAAACTGAAGGTCATGGAACAAATGACCTGAAGGTGGTCTAATGCACCCGTTTAAGGCAGATTCTCTGCTGATGAGTTGTTACATAACTTGCATGCCTCCAACAGGTCATATTACAACTGGGCTTTAAATATAGCTGTGTGATGCAGGACACCTGACCCCTCTGACAGTGCAAACCTGAGCAATGCAGAGTAGTGGTGTGCGGTGTCTCATGTCTAAGTCAGGGGTGAGGAACTCCAGTCCTGGAGGGACACAGTTGGTTGATTTTTTCTGCTCAAATACACCTGATTCAGCTCAAACTGTGCAGAATTCTGGCCCTCAGTTCCCCAGCCCAGCTGTAATAACAGTATTATTTTGAAACAATAGCAGAATAATAGTGCCCTGTACTAGAGCTAGTCTACTATCATGCACTCTTAAAAATAAAGATGCCAAAGGGCCTTTTTAGAGAGTTGCCATACAAGAACCAGTTATGTGTTTTCTATTCAAGAAAGAGCATCTAAATAATTGTCTGTGACAATTGACCATATTATATAGATGCAACATGTTAAAAATCTGGAGAATGCCTTCAAGGCAGTGGTTCTCAAACTGGGGGGCCACAGGGGGGCACTAAGGCAGCTGCAGAAAAAAATCAGAAGTTGTATTCCCTACTTATTTAATATGTATTTTGTCGGTTTATTAAATCTGCTTCTGCCACTAAAAAAACAGTACTTGTTTAAAAATTGCAAATGTGTTTAAACATTAATAAAATTCAATATATGTGCCAGCCATCACAATTCGGTAGCCACTTAACAAGTTACCTGCCATAGGTGAGCAAGCGAGTAGGGGAGAGAATGGGAGCAGGGAGGTGCACTGACACTTAGTATTCACATATAGGGCCCTAGATTGAACTACTGCTTTAAAAACATTCACTAAAAGGTTCTTTAGTGGTTCCCACATGAAAGAAAAAAAAAACATAAAAGAGATCTCTTTAATATCTCTGTAGTTTCTTCTAGACCTTCTGAACCTTCTGTTCACCTATGGCACTGCTTTTGGCACCTTTATTTTTAAGAATGTGGTGCATGAGGCAAAGTTTAGTACAAGCAAATCTCTCTCTCTCTCTCTCTGTCTTACTTCGCAGTAGCTGTGTTTGAGGAGGTGGGCCTTTTTCCAAGCACATGATTGGATCGATGCCATGTTGACATCAATTCTTCCCTTTTTTCTTTTCGCCTAGGCCATAAAATGGAAATACACGTAGACTCATGAGCCAGGAGGCGAAGGAATGAAACAGTTTCTCAGCTTTATCTCTGTAGACTTTGCTTTGAATTATCTTCTCTTTCTGATTTTGAGCTTCAAAGGGCTCATGTCCTACATTTTCTTGCATTTTAATACTTCCCTCAGAAGTACTCTTGTAATGTTTGTGCGGTTTTACATACCAAACACATGATAAACAATGATTCATTTTTACATCATCACATTGCAACTTTATTCCTTAGATACATACTGTATGTTACTGTGGTTTAATAACACGTGATACAGTGACCTCTGATTCTGATTGACTGCTCTATGTTGCACGTCATTCAAAAAGCAGTCTAGTCTGTAACACTACTTATAACTTTAAAGAGAATGGGCATGGCTAAACAGCTGTAAGCTCAGTTAGTGGTTATAGTAAATGCACTGGTTTTCATGACATCACAAAGAATGAATTGAATTCAAAATGGGTCATTTTTGCAGCTTAGGTTCCATATATGGACTGTATAGACAGGGAAGTGAATGTTTCAAAATATTAACAATGTTAATACATCTTTTATTATATAAGAAAAGGGATGAAATTTGTATGATTTCCATGGTATGGGCCCTTCAAATAATCTGATTTTAGCCTTGAAGGTTTTCATCACACATTGTAGATTTCTCACACAGTGCTCGCTGACCAGTGCAATAATTAAACACATTTCAGGCCCCACATAGTTAAACAGCACGTTTAACATCAGTGATCTAAAGCACTTTCCTCACGTCATCTACAGGCCTTAATATTTAACTTGACAGCAGCTCAGTCAATAATAAACCAGGCGATGAGACATCATGCCTTTTGAACCCGATGTGAAAACACTTTCAAGCTGCTGTGTAAATTTCCACCCTGATGAACGCCTCAAGAAAGCTTCTGTTGAAAAAATTGTGGAAATACTGGTTTCTCGTGACTAATGACCTGGTATGCAACTACGAGAGGAACCGACTAACAGCAACTATAGAGATCTTGCTGTGAAGCTTGAGTGTGAGATGATCTGGAATTTTCTTCACCATTTGGGCCAATGGAGCAGGGCCCCCTCAACGGGAAGCCACCACAGCTGTGAATGCTCAGTGCTGCCTGTGTACACAGCCAGAGACTAGGTCAGCATCCTGCTGTGTGGAGTGAGCTACCAACACACTACATTCTGCTAAATTAGACACAAAACCATTTCATTTGAAAGAAGCCTTTATTTCAACTACAAAATGCAAAAACAAACAAAACAGAAAAAGTACATTCCTTTGACTACTTCAATTGCTACTATTGTGTACAGCATTATGTAAGAATTGTTTATTTGCGAAGGAGGAACAAGAAGTTGAACATTTTGAGCTTGAAATAAATTGACGACCACTACCTCATGCTATAGCAGCTGACTGTTTGAGAGTGCACTGAAGTTTGAACGCATTCCTCCTAGATACGTTGGAAAGAGAAGGCCTATTCTTACATAGCATTCTTTTACGAGCAGGAATAAAATAAAAAAAACAGCCATAAGACGTATGCATTAGATTTTCAAGTTTCAGCCAGATATAGACGGGAGCGAAGGAGGGAGAGGGAAAAAAATACTGAGTGCCAAATATGACAAAGAAACCAAGGTCTTTGGCATCAGCTTTAACGGTTACAATTGCAAGTTATTGCCAAGATTGTTTAACTGCAGATAAAGAAAAAGATTAAATGCAACCATTCCCCTTATACTGATCTCTCACTTTTCTTCACTTCCATCAGCTAAAACAGACTGAAAAACATTACACCAGATCCATCCACCCATACAATCGATGACTGCACAGCTAATAATGTTCCCATCATCTTATAGTGAATAAGCTCTGAGCCTCCATTTGAATTGTTACTCAAGCGAATCTAGGAGGTAGATGAGACAGGACAACCATCTCCACTGACACCATGCTAGCCCTGTTCAGACAGGAGAAGCTCAACAGAGGATTAAGATAAAATGCAGGAGCATTCTGACTCATGGCTAACAATTACTGTACATATAAATATGCAATAAATATAGGTAGGCAGGACCTTAATGGAAGCTTCAGTCTGCATGGAGGAGAGGGAACACATTCCTTCTTGTTAATAACTCATACCCTCATCCTTCTAGAACCTTCTAAACATGTGACATTCATGTCATTCAACTTAAGATTCACAGCACAAGAGAGAGCTATGCACAAAGCAACACAAGCATCCTTCAGTCTTAGACTCAGGAGGAAAACATGAAAAAAAAAGCAGATTTAGATATTTATATATATACACAAATGCACATAAAACATGACATGTCTTTACAAATTTCTGTACAGGTAAAAATACACAAATCGAAGAGGAAAAAAATATCCATGTATCCATGAGTTCACTACGTTTTCTTCTCAGGTTTTGCAGAGATGAATAGAAGGCTGTTGTTATTGAGGCAGCATTCGAGTGTGAACGTGAGCGTATGGAATTTTTTTCTACTAAAGAGGCACACAGAGGGGAGGCACTGCCTGCGTCCCTGATCTACTAAATGCACTCCTAAAAAGAGACACCAAACGCACTAAAAATCACACCCATCTACGTCTACAAAGACCATTCACTCCTTTTATTTATGACCAGATGAGCAACGGCACTTAAGGCCAGAGTTCCTTCCTCTGCTACCTCCCTAACTCAACTCACAGTACTGCCGGTGGTCACTTCTCTCAGATACTCCTAAGAGAAACCACCATTTCAGCTTTCATTATCAGCTATTCACATCTCCTGACAGAAAGGGGAGATTCCAACTGTCTTCTGTTCTTTAGAGTTGCATTGTAAGGTTTCGTACAAGAGGTTGTGCTGGAAAAAAAAGGAAGATGAAAGAACAAAAAGTTTAAAAAGTGACACTGATAAGGCTGTCTAAAGGCCACTGCCTGATATGGGTGAGGGTGCAGCTATCTTGGCAGAAAAAAAAAAAGTACTGAGAGGCAAATCTGCAAGCAGTAATAATACTTAAAAAAAATAAATACAAAACAATGACCTCATTAAGCACAGCATGAGGTCTGTGTGAACAGAAGAAACCTTTTTTTCTTTTTTCTGTTTTTTCTCAGTCTTTTTTTTTGGTTCATTTTCCTTTTTGTTTTTTTTTTCTTTCTTCTTAGAAATAATGTCTCATTGGTTTGTCATTGCGCAGTCTCATGCTCACTGGTGCACAGGGCTACAGGCTCCTGTAGGCCAAGTAATCCTGCATACACTGAGGGATGGACAGCGTGTAGACCTGCTGCGTGGTCAGTACTCTCCGCAGTGCCATGCGACACAGATGCTGCAGGCTGGCAATGCTGCGCGGACATGACCAGAAATGCACACTGCCATCACGCGAACTGAAAAAGAAAGAGAGAGATTTAAATAAAGCCTAGCATTCATACATAAAGAAGTTTAGAGTACAATTAACAGGGCGTGCATAATAGAAAAAGCTATCATAAACGTTATATGTTATAAATCATGGTGAAACTAAATCAGAGTGCCTTCAGCTTGAACTGGGACCGAATGTGGGCTGACTATAAAAGCAGACATCCAGAAAGTTTAGGAGCATTCTCACACTTTTGCTTCTGTAAAGAGCCCGCAGCAAAAATGCGACAGCCCGCTAGAACAGTAGTCCCACATACTGTACAAAAGCCACAGAACCAGTCTGATCATTATTTTTCCTCAAGGTTTTGATAAAGTTGTCAAGTTTAAGGCGAACAACATTTCATATGGAATTTCGTTTTAATTACGACATATGCATACTTATGATTAATATTTTACTTGTGCTAATATAAACATTAAAAACTAATTGATACACAATATTTAATTAACCATGTCTAAATTTTAATAATAACACCTGTGGAAATAAGTTCTATTCAATTTCTATTAATTTGTAAAATGTTATATTCAGTAAATAAACAGTAACATTAAATTATGCAATTAAATTATGCAAAAGTGTGTTCTCTGTAGCAGATGTGTGCCTAGCTTCACTTAGAAAATCAAGAAAACATGTCATTTGTTGGGGGCCCCAAACTTCTGCATATGACTGCATATGTTCTGCTAAAACACATGATTATTAAATCAGATATCCGTTACTTGAAAATGGGAAGGAAAGAAAAGGAAAATGCTTGCTGAGCAACTGACTAATTTTGAAAATGAGAAGAATCTTAGAAACTCACCCAGCAGCTAAAATGCTTCCGTCCGTGGAGAAGGCACAGCAGAGACCATTAGTGAGCGATGCAATGGCCTGGGGAGACTTTTCATCTATGCTCCAGAATCTCACCAATCTGAAGAAAGGACACAGCAGACCATAGTGAGATTTACCTAATTAAAGTCTGTATCTTCAACCACTTCAGCTAGAAACAAAACAGCGACTAGCTGCTACTATGCCCTGGACTTGGGGGCTGCACCAGAATCTGGGCCAAACTTTAAAAACAGAAATGGGAAACAGTCGAGATTTTCTTAGTGCATCATGAACCACGCAAAAGAAGCGTCAAGCCCAGATAAGGTCATGAGTATCTTGTCATTGGGCTTGTACTGTTTTAGGCCTTGAGTGCATGTAAACTTCATATTAGTAGCTACACCACAAGGTCACTGCTCTGCCTTTTGTCTGTCATACATCTTGCACAAAATGATCGCTCTCTTTCTGCCAGCCAAATCTGAGCCTCGCCACAGGCCCCTACCCCTCAATATACGATAAGCCCCTCCTCAGCAACCAGCCAATCAAAAGAAGGAGTGCAAGCAGAGCTGAGGCAGAGACAGGCAGAGTCTGGGCACCTCTTAGTGATTAATGGTAGTCATGTGAGGAACATGTGCTCTTTCCCAGGGGTGAGGCCCAGCAACAAAAACGCTTAATAACAAACTCCTTCCCTGCTCAGTTAACACTTAAAACACTGTCATCATTACAGAGCTTATGGTGCTTCCAAAATTAAAGACTAATAGTGCTGGTCATGAAAAATGACAAACCAAAAGAAAAATGTGTTCTATAACTCTACTGTGAGGTTATGCAGTTAGCTAGTGTTCTCTTACCGGTCATCAGTAATGCTAGCAATATGCTGGCCATCATGACAGAAAGCCACGGAGCGAACCCAGCGGTCATTCGCTCCCCCAGCAAATATGGGAGAGGGAGGAGGAAAGAGGTGCCTGCAAGAGAAAGATGAAGAAATGTGAGCAGCAGGAATGGGGAATAAAGGGCACAATACAAGACAACATGCAATAATCTGCAATCTTTTATGTCTTTTTCCTTTTTTTTTTTTTTAAATGACTACTTTCTTGTTGCTTTTATGTTCTTCGTCTGCATTTATGAAACCTCTCAGAGTAGCAGTGCTGATGTAGGATCTGTGCATGTCATTAAAGTCATAGTAAATAAGATAGGAATTTGATTCTAGATCAGCACTCCTCCTACAAGAATGTTCTTGAATTCTGCCCTTGTGTGATGTTATATTTATCATAATCTCTTTTTGTTTTCAACCCTCTGTAAGGCACTTTCAACTGAATTATATGTTAATGATTTTTATTATGTAATATTATATTATTATTATTATTATTATTATTATTATTATATTATTACCCCAGCTCCAGCAACACAGTGCCCATGTGAGGGTCCCACACTATGACGCGGGTGTCGTAGGAAGCTGTGGCCAGTAGGGCTCCATCAGGAGAAAACTCACAGGACACCACATCATTATGGTGGCCCTCCAGCTTACGGATCATAGTATACTTATCCATGTTCCACAGGAAGACCTGTAAAGTAAAACAGGCTGGTTATAGCCCAGCATCCAAGGCCCACAGAGCACAGCATTTACATTAACCCAGACAAATTTGGTTTAAGGTAATTACAGAGACAATTAAGGTCAAATTAAGACATGATCAGTATATGCTCAGTGTCATTTTATCATTAAGCCATACAGCAAACAAAAGGAAAAACTTAGCACATGCCATTCAAACAGCAAGGCACTGTTAAAGTCAATGGACAATGAGCAGTCTTCACATTTCTAACTCTTTGAACACATACATACATACATACATATATATATATATATATATATATATATATATATATATATATATATATATATATATATATATATATATATGTACTGTCAACAAAATCACTGATAACTTCTACAATATATTCAAGATGTTTCCAGTCTTATGTTTATTACAAATACTACTAACAGTACAAGTTACTTTAAGGTATGTATAAATTACTGTACATACAAATATAATAAACAAATTTCTACAGTACAAACTACGAAACTAAGACTATACATTTCAATACAAATGTGTTTTAAGGATGACTACAAAAAGTGGTAAAAAAAAAATATATACAAAAATATAAATATATAAACAAATAGTAACTTAAGGTAACATAATGTTACTCCACTGGTATCCCCTTTCAGAGTTTTAGTTCACTTGAGTTTACAATAGGCTCGCACCGCGCCGGCGGAGGCCTACAAGGAGACAGACTGCAAGAGAAGAAAACATTTGATGGCCAAAAGGTTGACGCCTTTGGCAAACATATTACACAGCATTATGTGATAACTACAAACTCTTTAGATCATAATCTTCCATGTACTTTTCTACAGCTTATTTTGCTCCAGCACAATGTATGATAGTCAGAAACACAAAAAACCATTTGCAACAAATTATCTTGTTTTCCTAGAGCCCCTTTATACTTCTTTGCACTTTGATGGAATTCAATTCCTGGTTGACATTCAGTTCTACATACATTGTACTTGAGCAAAACTGTGCAATAGTATTACAACAGCTAGTTTCCAAACTACAACTGAGGCAGTATTGAGTTAGTGTGGGTGGTAAGGCTACTGAAACAGTGCATATAGGCTAATTTTTCCCTCCCTCTTAAACAGCACCATGAGATGAAAGGGCTTCAGTGTCCAAGATCGCAGCCTGTGCTTCAGTTTAGGAATAATTTGAACATTCTGCAGATGGAAGAATCAACGCTAATCTTTAGCAGCAGGGTCCATCTGGCTGCCAAGGAGTTAATAGCACCAGGCGCATGAGGAAGAAGCAGTGAAGTCTCTAGCACTTCTACATCTGCTGCTTGCACAGTTTGGGTAAGCTGAGGACAACAGTTCTGAGTCATTACAGAGAAAATAGTTTGGGCTATTCATGCTTCAACCATGGTTTTATTCACATCCAATTGTCTATGCTGCCACCTTTATACAGGCAGCAGTGCACTAAGCAACAGCTGCCCTTTGACCATTTCTGAGGCAACTGGGAACAAATCTTACATCATGTTTTTTTCAGAAGTTAATGTCCTCCATTTTTCTGCAGAGCAGCTCTAACAAAGGCAGACATTATCAAACTGCAGACAGTCTGACGAGGCACAAAGAGCCCTTTCATTCTCCACAGATGCCGACAATACTTTAAGCCCTGCGCAGCTAACTCTGTTACAAAAAAAAACAAAAAAAACAAACAAAAAAAAGGTCTGAACTCTGCTTCCCAAAGAGAGAGCATACCAGCAGCGGACCACCACGGCCCACGAATCCGTGAGCGCCATGAGCTAGGGCACTAATGAGAGACTATTAATGAGGGCCTGTTCTCTACTACCTGACTCCTACACATACAACAGGACCAATGGGGGGTCTGCTCGAACTGCCTGATGGGGAGGAATTAAAAAGGAGGGAAAGATGTGCAGGTGATGGAAATGCTACTAAATATTAGGGCCCGAACGATATATTGTTTGGTTGATAATATTGGCCGATATTGTGGTCCCACCGAATTATAGGTACTAGCAAAAAAGTCTGATGATAAAGCAGATATTAAACAGCCTGTTTTATATTTTTTTTCATCCCAAGATTTGAGATGCTTGGACAACATGAGATATATTAAGAGACTGCATAACAGCTGTTTTAGAAACTCCTACGCCAATAGTCATTTCTCAGCACAGCAATGCAGGCTGAAGTGGTAAATTTGAACACAAAACACAAACAGTGCACCCACTGTTGAACTTAAGCCTGGTTCATTTAACCTTATTAAATTACACTGTCCAGTGTTTTTATTCATTTGCATTTTTAGCTCCTTAAATTTGGTATCATAAAACTTTCATATCGGTTGGGCCCTCCAAAAAGTAAAAAGATAAAAAAGACCAAAGGGTGGGGATGAAATAGGGAGGAAGGGGGAGGAGAATTTTTTTCTGCCATATAAGCCAACTCTTCTGCTCTTAGATAGACTGAAGAATTAAAATAAAGGAGTATGAACTGCGACAGCAGAGGTAGACAGACATGGAGCAGCACCTACGTACAGGAAGCCCCTGCGGACAGGAGCATGGAAGCCCCTGGGGCGCGGGCACGGGCACATGAGCGTCCAGCAGGGGCCGCGATGGCAGCCGTGCCCTGCGTACTCCGCACCGGCTGCTCTATGTCAGCGCGGCACTTCCCCTCAATACCATTCACACACAGAGTTCTGCCTCCACCTGGGACAGGGAAAGCAAGACACTTATGGACACACACAACCGCACAGTACAACGACTGCAGTCTGCTCAGCGGAGGAGAGCTAGCTAGCGCCAGAAACGGCAGAAATATCAGCTGTTGAGGTCAGCACTGCTTTCTTATACTGTCTTGTTTCTTTTTCTTTCTTTTATTTTTAATTTAATTTGTCATTTGTTTGGTTGTTTCTCTGTAAGAATTACAAATGCCATAAAGGCTCAAAAATCTATAAATTTAGACCAAAATTTATTGCCAACTATTAACTCAAGTCAAAAGTTGTTGGAAACTGTCTTTTTTGTCTCATAGCTCTTAAAGATGGTTTAAATAAAACTAGCATGTGACTAGCATTCTATTTAGCTCCATAGAAATGAATAACTTCTATAGGCGTCGCCATGGATAAAGTGACTTTATGATGCAATGATGCTATAACAGTATGGAGGAATCTTAAGAAGAGGGACACCAGGTCCACTGCAAAGCCATGGCACTTCTCCAAATTCTATATTTCACATGCACACTGTCAGTCACACAACTATTTGAACAAATGAAAACAAAAAAAAAAATATATGCACCAATACTGAAACTATAGGCAGGGTTGTAGCAGCAGATCATGACACCGAGCATTATGTGATGAGGATTCACTTCATAATCTCATTGATTGGTCAATTGAAAAACTAGTCACAGGCAATAACACACAAGCAGCTCATACAAGTCTGAATAGACATAAACAATGGGGTACATACCGCTTTGCCGGCGCCCACCGAGCACAGCACCGATGAGTCCGGTGAGAAGGCGCTGCAATAGACCCAGTTCTGATGGCCCCGCAGCACTTTCACCATGTTACCTGCAACAGGCAAACAAAACTGCATCAAGAACAGTGGCCTGGCTTTGGTAGTGCATTTAAGGGCATGGTTCAGGTACTAATGATAATGCTAACGTTGTTAACAATGAAGAGCCTCTAATTAGCATTATGAAAATTGCACTGGGCTAACTGTGGTGTCTACTGGTTTATTGTTAGCAATGTTAGAATACATGGATGAGCTGTTTTTTTTTTGTTTTGTTTTTTTTCAGCGGTATCTATTTGATGTATATTTTATGAAAATGTTATTGAAAATCAATCCCAATAACATGTCTTTTTTAATATATATTTCTAAATCTCCATAGTGTCCCTGCAAACCGTAGATACAACCTTGATGTTTTCTGTTTGCCTAAACTGTGAATACAAACAGATTTGATGGCCTTGGAGAAACAGTTTAATACACTTAACCAGAGAACATTCCTAATAGGCGCAGTGGGTCTCGTGGTGCCCGTGCTGAATTAGAGCTATGTAGCTAGCTTAACCTCAGCCAACTGTCTATTGCAAAAAAAACAGGAAGACACATAGCAAGGGCCTTCTGAACTAGATCTGAACTCGATATGAAATATGGTGACGTGCGCTTGAGTAGGTGGAAAGGCTCTGAAGCATTGCAGGAAAAGGAGGATGTAACAAACATTCCACTGAATATTCTAACACAGGCTTGCTGAACTGTGGGTGTTTCTGAAATTCTGCAGTACTAGACCTGATCAAATCACAATTCTGAAACGGATGATCTTGCCAGGAAATGGACTCGACTACCTTGCCAATGTTGAAGCTAAACAGTATTTTCCAAGTTCTCTCAAGAATACAGTCTGGAACAAACAGTTTTGGATTAAGAGGTTGTTTTTTTTCCCCCTCACCATCGTCCTTGAGGTCCCAGACACGTAGTGTCTTGTCTCTGGAAGCAGAGACCAGCACAAGGCTGCCATCCGGCGCAAACGTTAGGTCTCGCACAATGTCTGTGTGATCCATCAAGTTCAGCAAAAGTTTTCCTAGACAGATGCAAACAAAGTGGCAATGAGAAACAGAACAGAAAAACAGAAAAAAACAAAGCTCACTGTTGCCAAGTAACTGCTGGTCAAGCAGCGTTCATTGGACAAAGTCCACATCAATCAATTATAACTACGTCAAGGAAAGCCTTAAAATCAACATTTTCAGAACACAGTATTTGAGGAATGGCATCGGCTGATTTCTGGACCAAAAGCAGCCTAGCAAAAAGGCTGAAGAGAACAGGTTTTGAAGAGACTTTTTCCATATGAGGGAACAATAAAAAGCTGTTATCGTAAAAGCTGACCTCCAGTGAGTGAATAGTAGCTTATTAACCGGAGAATAGGTCATTTACAGAGCTAAGCCTTTTCTCAAAGCATGGAACTGAATAGCCTTGAGGGATATAGAAATACAATGAGTGCAACCTGTCAAGCTAATTCACATTAAAACCCTACAATTTAGCTTCAGCTTAGGTAACAGTGTTTATTCATTTTCTGACAGGCATGAAAAAGGATCTTCAGCCCTCCTAGCAAGTTTCAGTTGAATGACACAAGTACTGTCAACTCTTCAACTCAACACTATCTGATTTCTGAAATGTACAACAAAAACAGGCTAAGTTTGGAGAGAGGAATGAAGCACCCTGAGATAAGGCAGAGTGTGTGCAGTGAAGCTTCAGGGCAGTGTAACTCTACAGAGAGATAAAGAGGAGGCGGTGTACTTAACTCAGCTGTGGACAGCCAATAGCAGTTCAGTTTTGGGGCCTACCCATTTAACGTAATCTGCCCACCAATGAGCATACTGTGCAGCTGGCAGGTCATAAATAATGAGGCCAGAAAAAGATGTAATTTCTGAGCTCAACCTCCACCCTCTGCACACAGAAAACTGGTTCTACAGTCAACACCGGGTTGTAGCGCTTCTCCTGATACAATCGCCGTAGAACATTTAAACCAAGGAATCCATCAAAACACATACATAGCAGCACAAAAAAAAACAAAAAAAACAGCCAAACTAACTGAAAAACAGGCAACATTGCTGAAAGACTTTTAGATTTGGCAAAGCTGTCTCTGAAGGGCTGCAACTGTTAAGGCCACTCAGCGCTGAGGGAGATAAACTGATATGCTCTAGACGTGCTGAATACTCCTGAACAGATTTACCAGAACACCATGTGTAACAGAGAGCTTGAAGGCCAATGCCATTAAGGTTTGCCAAGAGATAAAAAAGGAGACAGAAGCCAAACCTAAAATGAGAAGACATGCTAGAACCCATCACGTAAACATGTTACATAACCCAGTAAAGAGGGAGGACGGAATTATAATGACCTTATTTCACTTCTGTTAAATCCAGGGAAGGGGAATTTTTACATTTTCATTTTAGGACAGAACGAGCAATGAAAGAAAACAGTGTCTTATAATAAACGGCTACTATTTCTCAGTTTCACTCTTCTGGTGAGGGAAAGGTTGAGGTCTGGAATGCAGCACATGACTCACTACAGTACTGTAAAACCTATTAGGAGGTAATGCCAATCTCCAACGGAACATCTGAACGTTTCCAAACTAAGATAGGATTAAACAGAGTCCAAAAAGCACTGACTGCTCACTGGTTACTAGGGCCTGACTGATATATTGGTTGGTCAACGATATTAAGGTCCTGCAGATTTACTGCTATTGGCAATAAAGCACTGATAATTAGTGGATTGTCTTATATTATAAATTTTTTTTTTTACATTTGAAGATTTCTTGTTTACATGCCATTCTGTTTAAAGACTACCTACTACTATAGCAATACAGGCTGAACTGGTAAAACACAAAGTCCTATGATTGATAAAATACCAAAACATGTCAAATCAATAAAAAGATTTTATGAAGAGAATTGATTATGTAAGACTAGGGGAGAGCAAGTTAAAAATACACATTACAGTGGAATATTGGAAATGTCTTGAAAAACAAAGAAGGGAAAACAAGAGGTAATTGACAGAAACCACAATTAATCAATTCTAGACTCTTTTGGTCTTATATTTACATTATTTAAAGTGCCCATGCCCAGGAAAACTGAATTTACCTCAGTTTTATCAAGTAAAAGTCTGATGTAGTATGTAAACATTGTCAAAGGTTTCAAAATATACCATTCACTTTCCAGTCTATATATGAAAACTAAGCTGCAAAAACAGCCTGTTTTCTAGTTGTCAGAACAGAGATAATTTACAGACCTTTAAATACTAAGTGATAAAGTTGGAAAATGGTTCTATATATATATATATATATATATATATATATATATATATATATATATATATATATACACACACACACACACACACGTCATAACAGTCAGGCAAACATTGTTTAGGGTATAAAAACTAATAGAGCATAAAAACAAAATCTAAAACTCAAATTACTAAATATAAAATAATATTTGCTGATATTACTAGTCAGAATTTTAGCTCCTTAAAATTTGTATTGGTGACAAAATTTTCATTTTTGCTTGGGGCCCTACTGTTTACATCGTAAGAGAAACCCTTACCTGTATATGCATCCCAGATTTTGATGCGGCCATTGTTGAGACCTGTGGCCAGCAGCAGCTGGTCTTGGCCAAATTTGAAGCGGTGCCACTCGATGTTCACACATCGGCTCTGCTTCTCAGGGACGGAGGAGCCAAAAGCCAGCCCCCAGACAATGTCACCACAGTCAATGGTGTGTTCTCTGGGCTCCCCGGGCACCAGGGTGCCCTCGCTGCCCTGACGAGACAACCGCCTGGGCCCAGCCCCATTTATCCGCTCCTCCTTCCTCATAGAGCTGCGAGAGGGATACAGGGTCGAGAGGGAGCAGAAGAGTGAAAGGGAAACAGATGATGTTTAAGTGATCAGAATAAGGAGCAGGACTCTGTTTGCTCCAAGGTGATGCTGCCCTTATGATAAGAAATAGTAGGTCATAGCTGCTTCATGTAAGGTAATATGTCTAAATTTTTACCATGGTACACTTTATTGTATTTACTGCAGGAAAAAAATACTACACATCTGTAATGCCTGCTCCTCAAGGGCCTGGCTTAAAGCAAATAAAAGCCACGTCATCATAGCTAACCCAGCTGCGCATCAGTATCCTGGCAAGAAAGTCTTGCCAAGTTTGTGATGAACATGCAGTATTCTTTTGGGCACAAAGCAGGCAGATGTACAATGTTTAGCTTCCATAATTAAAGATTCATAACAGACTGTTATTAAATCTCACACATGGGTCACTTTTGCCTCTAGTGCATTTCGGGGGTTTGGGGGGGGCAGGCCCCTAACAACAGAATCTGTAGATTCACACTGTCGAGTGAGAATCTGAGTTTTGAGTGAGTACACTCCAATGTACATTTCTTGCTCAAAGAAGGTCATTTTTATTAAGGTTACTGGTTCTGTTGCATGCACTGTTCACCTCAAAGTGCATTTAGCTGCTGTTTGTGTTGTTTCTCATTTTTGCACAGCTTAACTACCCAAAGACTGTACATAAAAGCAGCCTTCAGACAGATTTATAGCCAAGTGCTATACAAATATAATGCACAGCTTCTGTTTAAAAAAAAAGTAGGGAAGTTGCTGAGGAGTTGCAACAGCTGGGTTGATGCATCATGAATGATACACCTTAAGTTTTCTAAAAGTGCTAATGAAGTTTCAGTGATCACAGACTCCAGATTAAACTCAACTAGTCCAGTTCAAAATTCAGGAATGTCACAAGAGGCTATTGTGCAGCAAAAGGGCATATGCTGCAGAAAAGCAGCTGATAATACGTGCCACGTGTGCTTGGCAGCCAGTAATGGAACAGTAGCTTCTTTGTGTTTTCACTGAGCATATTCACTTCCTGTATGGTTCAAGGCCAGATAACTTAACAAATACACAGTTTTGCCTGGGTAAGAGTTTAGCAGCACCAACCAAATGCCTTCTGTAGCTCAATTGACATAATATCTTTCTCTGTTAAACATAATGAGGTCTAGAAAGCATTTTGTTCACTAAAAGAGGAGTATGCTCCTTATAACACTAGTTCCAGAAGTCTCTAAAGCTTTCACATGTACGTCAAAAACTGTTCTGATAAGCCAAGTAAATTATAACACTCAATAAAACAACCCTGAAAATCTGACTGCCTGCATACTAGTTGTATATTATACACTGAATTACAGTTCAAACTTTTATAGCTCCTACGGTATACCTTTCTTTTACTGCATTTAACATTGCAGACTGACTGTTTTCCTTTGCGCTAAAAAATTACTCAATAACTGTAATTCCCTTTGATAAAGATTTACTAGAATTCACTGATGGTTAGCTTTGTGTTAAACCAATCACTATGCACTAAAGTAAGCACTCGCATGGTCAAACAGCCTGAGAATGATGGCATATTTGGTAGTAAAGGAACTTTTTAGAGCCAGTATGCAACTGTTAAAAACTGCTAAAATGAAAGAAAACCTTAGTGACTTAACGAGTAAGTTGATGACCCAAGTTAGATGGAAGATTTGTAAATAACTGGGCGCACTCTACTTCAGTTATAACCTGTGGTTCATGAAAGTTTATTCAGAGGCTTAACAAAGAACAGAAAACTGCCAACTCAAACAAACACAGCCAAGAGCACTTTAACCTCAAGTATTTAGACACAAGACAGAGGAATGAACCCAATTTTAGCTCAGGACAATGGGTATTCTGGTAAGTGTACAATTTCTTGAATGACTACAGATAAAGTGCAGTTTAACTGCAGAACTCAGCACTACAGAAAGAACATGGGCACTGTGGGTATATGAAAAAGTTGCATGTACTCACAAGTTTGTTATGCATTTTGACCACGGTACAAGCCTCACGATGCGATGCCCTTGAGACCAAGCGAAATAGGAACCATCAGGTGCAAAAGCTACAGTCCACGTCTCCCGTCCTGACTTCTGGTCAAAGGGAGCAACAGGAGCTAAAAGTTCTCCAATGAACTTAGCTTTACCTTGAAGGGGAGACACAGTAAATGACAAATTCCTGTGGTCTTCAACAAAATTCTCAGAGATTCTCATCCTTATCTAGGATCTGTTTTCCCTTTTTTCCCACATTTCTGAGAAGAAGGGGGAAGTTTGAACCAAAAAATAAGCCCAAGGAGAAGCTAACATGGAGAGATGTTTCAGAAATAACAAATAATACAATGAAGCAAAAGAAACATCTTGATTTTTTTCACCTACTTCTTCATCAATTTCACAAATTTTCCTTACATTAATTCAATATTTAATAAGTAAACAAACTCATTCAGAGTGGTTTAATGTCAAATGCTCCGTTCTAGACAAACTCGTAGAATCCGAATTGTTTACAGTGGTGGTGATAGGAACCAGACGTCCGAAGAATTAGTCCGTCTGAAAGCTACGGCAGCACAGAAAGCTACTATATGAAATAAGTAACTACAATACTCTGCCTGATGACTAAGACGTTGTTCTACGATAGTTTTGCAATTAAACCAATCCATTTATGGCTAAGTGGTACATGCAGGGCACTGTGGGTCAAGAAAGTCAACAAAGAAAACATTTGTTTCATATTTTCAATGTAAACGATTACATTTTAAACAATGAAAAGTCACGTGAAGGCTCAGTGGTCATTTTGAATAAGAAATAAGATGGTTATATTTGTGTTACAGACATCGTGAATCCTGGTTCCCATCACCACCACTGTAAAGAAATCAAAGTAGGTACATTTCTCTACAATTAACCATTTCATGTCAGACCACTCAATGAGTTCGTTTACATTTCAGCGGCAGACTAATGCAGACGTACTATCACTATGCTTTAATCGGCAGAGTTCCCCTTTAACCCTGAAATGCCGTCGCTTTGAATCTGACTCTTCTGGCGCAGGTCTTACAGAGCTAGTTTAAAGGATGTTGACTCGGAAACGTCCGAGCCAAATTTCACACAATAACAAAAGCATAATCTGAGGTCAATTATTAAAGATAACGCAACGGACCCACTTATCAAAGTTAGCTAATGATTATCCGTTACTGTGTTGGTAAATACGTGTGAGTCATCCTGGCGCAGTCCCGCCCAGAGCAGACTAAGGTTAACGATAGTTACACTCGGAAGTGGCGAATGCGAGTGGGGGGATGGAGCAGAAATGGAGCAGAAATGGAGCAGGCGGTCGTAGTTCAATCCAGGATGGGCGTGTGTGCTGAAAAGAGTATGTAAACTTAGCCAATGAAGCCAAAAACCTGAATACGTATTTTAAACTCACATTAAAATGGACGGATTAGCTTTAAGATACGTGGGTAGCCAGCGTCAAAAGCGTCTCCACCTCCTCCAGTAGAGTTAACGTACAGTGTAGGTTTAAAAAATGTAAACAGACGAAGACAAACAAATAACGTTAACAGTGTGTACACAGAAGTAAAACTGAACCCCACTTAACAAAAAACGACAGAAAATGTCTAAATTCTGAGTTTGTAATTTAGCTAACCTAGCTAGCCAGCCCCTTCCCCCTATCCAAGCCGTAGACCACAACCTGCCCCCCCCCCCGCCAAAAAAAAGACAAAAAACAGTAAATAAAGTAGAACTCACCTATTTCATTTTCGTTGACAAAATCTGGGAAGCTTGCCATCTAAATAGAAACGAGTCTCTTTAAACCACGCCTTTGTATGTTAACGAACTGAAGTGTTTCAAACGGATGGGTTCGGACAGGCAAGGCGAGTGAAAATCTGTGGAATGCGTGAGGACGCACGTAGGCGCTGCGTTAGCTAGGTTAGTGCTCAGCTCAGAGTCCGGCCAACGCAGACATACATTCCAAAAAACGAGCAAAACAACAGTAGTCTTTTACTAAAAAAACAATACCGCTGTCACTTAACACAAAACGCTTCCACTAACGTTGACTAGGGCGAAAAGGGACGAACTCAACGACAAAAACGAAGAAGTGTTTCTCGGAGCCTGGTCCGCGCTGCCGTCTACGCCTGTATACACTGTATTCTAATGGCCGCGGCTGGTCTCCAGGCACTTCACACTCGGGCCAATGGGCGGGCTATGACCGACACGTCATCACAGTTGCCATGCCGACGCGGCTGCTCCTCCCTCTGATTCGTGCGTAAGTCGCTCTACTGAGCCTGTGATTGGCTGAGCGGCGAGGGACCTCAATGAATACAGGTTATTGTGCGTCTATGTATTTCATAGCGATTACGTGAATGTTTTTTTTTGCGAAGAAGAAAACGCTTAATTCTGAAGGGAAAATTCGTAAATGATGATTTTCCCTCGCTTATGTCAGCGTCTTATCAAAATTCAGTGAGGCATCCACCTAGAGAAAAATACAGAACCCTAATCTTCTACTATAACATGAAACGTCCTGTTTTCAGCCAAGAAATACGATTTTAGCAGGTGTCAATGTGCTACACAGCGTGTAACGTGAAATAACATGTATAGTGAGCTCATATTTTTTGTCTGTGGTATTTTATACGTTGTTCTGAATTTGTGCTCCAGCATTTATTTTATTGCGACAGTGATAAAACCACGCCATCAGGCATTTATCCAAGAAATATTTCACATTTGCACCCATTCATTCCATTTTTGTAACCAGCCCTGCTCAATATATGCAATATATAATATCAATATAACAAAAATCGAAGTAATGGAAGTCTGTGTCACCGAAACACGTCTCGATGAACTATTCCTTTAAAACCTGGACACATAAAGAGGCCTCAAATCTACATGTAGACTTTTTTTTTTTAAACAACGAATCAACTATAACTTCAACGAAAAAATTAAAATATTCCCTAAAATTATTATTTGCAAATTAATACAGTGGGTCACACGCCAAAAAAAATTCCAAATATATATATATATTTTGCAGCTTTATTTAGTATTTTCTTTTTTCAAATTGTGATGAGAAAATAACCTGGTCTATAAAATACTAATGATATGCACACCATGTAAATCACCGGCTACAAGGCCAAAAGACTTGAGAATCGTAAAGCTAGAATATTTAGAAATAAAATATATATTTTGAAACTAAACCTAAAACCTGAATGAAGTAAAATTAAACTTTCACAGAAAAAAGGAAAATAATGTAGAACAAAAATAAATTGTATTAAAAACACAAAACGATTTTAAACTTGGTCAGCATGGTACTAAAACACACACATGGAAATACACTGGTTTAAAGCCTGATGACTAATGAAATAAAAGCAGTGAAAGTGAAGCTGGGTTGGGCTTTTCACTGGTCTCATTTGCTAATGATAAGATTACACTGCCCCCTACAGGCTAAACTATGTAAAGACTGTGTGGTAATGTGTAAAATTAGACTTGAGATTTTTGTTATGACAGTGGAACATATGGGATATTTGAAATAAGGACAATAAGACAATAATGTATAACAATTTTATTACTCATTTCAATAACTAAAACATCTCTGGATTGTAAGAAAGGTTTGAATTTGGAAACAGTATTGATGGTTACAGAACCATCACACTTAATGGTGGGGCTGTACAGTCAGTCCAAGAAAAAAGGAAATCATAAAAAAAGTAATAAATGTATCTCATTAAGCAATTTATTAAAATGACTTTAACTCAGGCCATCCGATTTGACGAAAGGTGAAGATTTTCTTCTACTTAAAAGCACAAAGACTACATTCCACTGATCATTACATCACTCACCACTGCACATAGTAAACTTTCTCCATCACGTAAACAGACTCAACCTAACTTCACCCTTCATAAAGATCATTCAGATTAATGGACTTTGGGGAGAATTTAGGTATGAAATCAGAACATGCCAAAATAAAAAAGGAACACGTGAACATACTGGAGGACAAAAAGTCCTTCAATATTTTATTCCCACTTTATGTTGTAAAAAAAACTTTTTGGTTAGAATTGTAGTTTTTATTGCGTTACAAAAGCATATCCAAGTGTGCTACATGAACCTTTCTAACAGCCTCTGCTCCACTATCAGTTTTATGTCCATTCAAGTTATGCTTGTACCAAATGATTAAATGAGAGCAAGTTCCCTGAGAGGATAAATGTGCTAGTGTAAACAGGCCAGGTGGGAGACACACTAATGTATAACACATTAGTTACACATGTTAATGCGGCATGAATTTACAGTCAATTTACACTGTGCAGATGAGCATACGATCTTACAAACAATTAAAACATATACCACTGTAAGAAGTACTGGACACCCTCTACTGACCTTCTGAATACTTCATATAAGCATCTTGCTCCTTACAAAGTAACTGTTCTCCAAATTCACTGGCAATCTTCTGTTAGATATTTCTACACATGCTACTATTGACGCACTGCCACACCTGACTACAGGGTTATCCATTTCCTAGAGGACCACAGCACTCTCTAGTCACATCGCAAAGTGAAGGCTGCAGCTGAAGTAGGAGAGACCTTGACAGCACTGGTATCAGAAGACTCCTACTCAGTGCTCACTCGCGCACAATCAAGATGGTCCACAGCATCCCACCACTTACAGCTGTCTCTGCCATTTTAACATGGTTTTACGCTGCGTGTGATGGATTACGGGTGATTGAAGGTCTTGAGGGATACAACAGCTGCATCTGTCAAATTCTTAGAAGGGTGTGTTTCTCAGCCACATTCAAAGAATCCTACAAAACGGGACAGGCTTCAATGACATAATGGCCAAAAAATGCAGCCTTCCTCAGCTGCATCCTTAGCTTTGAGACTTCTGTGTCAGGGTTTTCCCTGCTCTAACATCTCTGACAGACTTTAATGTCTAACAACTAAATTTAGAATGATAATGGCAGTTCTGATTGGTCTACAGGGATGAAAATTTGTATAGTTTTACTTTGGATTAACATCTAACAGTGCGCACTGTTATTCACAATTAAATTTGTAATTACTGTTGTTCTGTTAAAAATCTGTAGTCCAATGGGACCAAAGGACTGTATTTAATACAAAAAAGGTGAAGTAAGCCAATCCAATAATCCAATACACTTTTTTTGTTAAGATATTTAGCGAATATCTCCTCACGGTCCGCTAGCTGTCTGTAATATGTGCACACTGGAAAAAAATCTGGTTCATACACAGCTCGGGCTTTGTAAATGGGGAACAAAGTGGCTCTGACCCGAATGACAACACTGGCCGATCATGGTCGTACACAGGACAGGGAGAAGGGGAGGGGCTACGTGCTGAACTCCATGCACTGTCAAGAAGGAGAGATGGCCAAAAAAACAACCAAAGAGGAGAAGATCTGAAGAACCAAGTTTGAGAGAGAACTTCTTAGATCAGACAAGGACAAAGAGCCGTTTTAACATCATTGAGGCATTTCAACAGTTGAGAGACCTCAGAGTTGATGAGGCTGAAGTTGGCTTCCTATTTGCCAGTGTCCTGTTTGAATTTTCCGTTCCACCTGAAATGGTGCAGCAGTTACACAACTACAAAACATGTAAGTTACATGTAACTGCTGCACCATTTAAGGTGGAGTGGAAAATCCAAACAAGAAGCTGGCAAAAAAGAAGCTGACTTCAGCTTCATCGAGAGTTGAAAGGCATGAAAAGGGATTGCCCTATTTCTGCTTGACAGGTGGGTAACATTAACTTATTTTTGCTGCACCACAGAACCAGGTCTGTATTGTTTTGTCCCATTTGCTAATGTTTGTGACAGCTAATAACAACTGGTTAGCTTAATGGCAGCAACAGTAGTGAGTTTGCTAATCCACAACCTAGCTAATGTTTCTTACATTGTTACATTACTTGCTGTGTCGTTTTTCACTCTAACATTATCATGGCATTTGTCTATACAACAGTTGCAAACGGTTTTATGACCACGAAGACCTAAAAGACAAGTTTGCTAACCAGGTGTAGTTCACCTTGGCAATGCCTGTCCATGAATTTGTGGGATGGAGCTTCTGAAGGAGCACTGAAGAGAGGGGTGTATTTGTTTTGCTGTTCAAATATCAATAATCGTTCTCCAGAATCGTTAACTGTGGTTTATTTTAACTTTAGGTGATTAAAACTCCTTTTGCAGCCATATGGTTTGAGTCATTTACAAAACTGAGCATAAGCTCAGAGAACATATGAACTGATGTGTAATCTTTCAGATATTAATAGGTTAAAGGAATATTCCAGTGTTTTTAAACCTAGTCTCTATTTGTGGCATCTATACAGATGATTACTGAGGACAACAATTTCAACATGTTTTGCTGTGCCTAGTAAAATAACAGAACACTTGTTGGCCGTAAGCACATAATTGGAGCCAATGCACAGGTGCTGCAGCCATGCTATTTTAATTTTAGGCTGAAAAATGTTAGAGTAGACCTTTAAGCTTATCATTACCTAAACCAAGAATGTTATAACAGGGAAAACACTGAATTGTGCATGACCAGAGCTGAAGAAATGTGCTTTCTAGAACCAGTAAGGGTGAAATATAAATGTCTATTCAAAATTTGACAGCCAAACAGTGTTTCAAACACACTAGATGAGCTCCCCTATAATAAAAACCTAAGAGATCCTTTGTAAAAGCAGGTCAAATTTACTAATGACACACTACGTGGATGGCACAAGTAATTTTCCTGACAGAGAACTGACGGAAGCAGGTGATGACAACACAAAGACAGTAATCTCCCACTATGCTAGTATCACACTGAGTTGGTGCTAAATATTAATGGTACAGGAGGTCGCGTTCTTGCACAGCACAGACATTTTCCCACCCTGCAGAATCGCACTGCTCTACACAGAATCCCAAATCATTTCAAATATCAACTACCCATAAAACTAACAATGACAGCATCAGTCAAATTGTTCTGTGCACCTAATTCAGCAACACATTCTGCTGATCCAAAAAATATTAGAATAAAAAAATTTACTGGCATAAAATTAAATTTGTTTAGATTATTTTAATACTGGCTTCACCTTTTCATGTATCTTTCTCCCAGAAAAGCTAGAAAAGAAACTTTGTATTAAAATACATTATGAAACAGATATGGCAGTGCAAGTAGAGATGCAAGGTCACACATAGATCTGTGCCCTTGCCCATATTTGTGTAAAAAAAACACTTCTGAAATTTGATTTTGGAAAATAGGAATTATTTAAGCATTGTAACAGCATCACAGACTGCACATCATCTGTCTACACAGGAGAACATAGTGTAGCAGGATGAGAATTTGCCATTTGAACTGGCTGAATTAGCCATTAGTTTTGCTTGTGGTTGTACAGTGTGGAGGCATGAGGTCACTGAAATAACCAATTTATATGCCCTTAACTCTATTCTACAGAAAATGGATTAGGAAGGCATTTTGGTGATACTGTAATCAGTAAGAATGGACTGACTAATCAGATGTGGACACTGTAAATACATTTCATGTGTCAAATACTTAAAGGGTTGGATTCTTGGGGATTCAGTCAGATGCTCTGTTGAAAACATTCCACATTAATGCACTGAAACTTATGTCCATTAGTTGGATTGAATACTTGGGACCAATATCTAGAAATTCTGTAATGTCATTCTTTTCAAATAGTAATGAGCCACATGTTGCTCAAATCATAAATAACTAGGGGGAAAAAAAAATCATATGTAAAGTAAAAATTAGTCCACAAACAAAAACTAGTACAAATCAATTATTTTCATTATACAGGGATTCTCCGAGAGAAAAAAAAAAATCATGAAATGAATACTGTATCTGTTCATTTTTACATATGAAACCATATATTAACAAATAGTTATAATACAGTTAATATAATGCAGATAATTATATGCTCGTTACAAGGCTGCTTCAGAATCACCAGTTCCTTTCTGTGTGAGCGGGGACAGTTCCTCTGGAGCCTGTGATAGGCTGCTCTGAAATAAAGGGAAGAGCCACAGAGCTACAGGACCACCTGCCATGGGTCATTCTGCTGTCACCATGGAACCTTGAATATGCCAAATGGCTGGAGGGATCTGAAATAACAAATAACACATGCTGAGTGAAGGTCTTATCCATAATATTACTGACTATGCTTCTGTGACAAGAATTACGCAGCAATCTCTACATCTGAGAGTTGCAAATGTTTTGAATGTACTTTTAAGCACTTTGCAGATGCTCTTACCCAGAATGACTCAATTTATTCATGTTACAGAGTATTTCTTTAAGCTTCAAGCTGAACAGCCAAACACACACATTTCAAGCAAATACAATTTCACAGATGATGCCCCCTAAAAAACCCTAAGAAATCCTTTTTAAAAACAGTTACTGAGGTAGGAGAATGCATTGTTAGGAGTCTTGCTCAAGGTATAGCGTCACTTGCCTGGGCAGGGAATCAAACCCCATTCTGCTACGAGAAGGGCAGCCGTATTACCCACACCAACTGATTGAACAAAATGATCTTGATTTTTGCAGGATTCCTAACATAGTTTTAAACATTGTAACCTGAAAAACTGCACTTTAAAACAAAATTTGTTTTGAAGTGCACAATAATCCAAATGTTACCTAAATGTTCCAACAACACCATTAACAAACAACTGCTAAAAACTCTGATGTTTGGTCTGCTTTATAGCAATCAAGAGTTGCAGTGACCCCCCCCACAAGACAACACAGGAACAGAAGCTAGCAAGAGAACACTGTCAATAAGTTTCAAGCACTACTGAAGACTGCACAGTGTACTACTGTTTCCATAAGTGTTTCCTACAGCCTAGTGTACTTATTATTTGCTTTGTTTAATTTTTTGTACTGTCTTTATTGCATTAGTGACAGTGTTCACATTGGATTTCTTGGATAACCACATCCCTTCCTTGGTAAACTTGGGAGGATAGACTATAAATAGCAACCCTGAAATTAGTATTTTACTTAACAAGTGCCATCTGTGTGAACTGTGCTAGGCTAGGCACGTGAGGGGTTTGGCAGCAATTTGTACAATGTGATTTGATTTGTGTTGCCTGTTCAAGCAAGACAAATGAACGAACTGACAGCTAAAATAAAGAATGATCCTACAATACTGGCATATGTTTTAGACTTTAAACTGAATAATGCAGTACAGGCACATGTTGCTCAAACAAAAGCACAAAAACCCCAAAACCATCTATAGTTAATTTTTCCCAAAATCCTTCTTCCATTCCTATATAATAAAAGAATGCAAATTTCAACACTCTTGCTGTTTTGTATGTTTCCTGATGTAAACAGTTTGCTCTGTGCATTTATATTATTACAGGGGCCAGGAAAACTAGATATAGTTCTTTTGATACATGGCTTTACTCTTTAACTGACAAACTATAAATGTTAAACAACCCTTCTAGTGAACGGTGTGAAAATGCTTAATTCACTGTATCAAGCAAAACAATGACTAAGAAAAGTGACCAGATTCTCTGCACAGTGGTATGACCACTCACCATGAAAGCGCTTCCCTGTGGGGCCGCTCTTCTTCCTGAGTGGCCAATCTTCTGAGCTGACTTTCTTCCTCTAAACACAGACACAGATAACAGCATTATACTGTTGCTATCTTCTACTTGTTAGCAAAGAGAGTGTCTCTTATCTGTTCCCTTTATCAGCTTTTTGTTTTTGTGTTTTTTCTTGGGTTTACACGTCAAAATAGCAAAATGCTGGAGTACAGAAAGAATACCTACTTATTTTTGGTCACAAAAAGTACTTCAGTGAGATTCTTGCTGATGTGAGGTTTGGTGTAAAAAAATTTTTACAGCTACAGCACAACATTTGTTTTTGTGTGACTGAGGTGATGAGATCTATCTATCCTGGCCAGATGACCAGTTCAAAATGGCCCATGGAAATACATGCTTTGGCAAAGTGTCTCACTTACCACAGGGGTTTCCCTCCACATCATCCAATAAATTGGCAGTAGAGTTGGCAGTGCCTAGTCTGAGAGACTGATTAAGACAAACTTCAAAAGATGTGCAGAAATACCAGGACGCCTAATGACTCAAAAAGCATACATTATATTATTTCGACAAAGTTTTTAACATGACAGTGTAAAACTTAATTGAGTACTGCCAGTACTAAACATAGAATAAAGTGCTAGTAGCTACACTCTCAGAAAAAAGGTACTTAACTGTCACTGGGGTGGCAGTACCCCTCTGGTCATTGTGGTAACGTCTTTAGTACCTTTACTGTGGGAAAATAATCGTACCATGTTCCATTGCAAGTATATATTTTTATTTTACAAGGCTTTTTATTATATTTTTCTGTTTAAAATGTTTAAGATAAGGTACAAATATGCCCCTTTCCTCTGGGAAAGCAAATGTAGTTTACATTAAGGCCACTGTTGTACCTTTGAGGGTACATTTACACTGTTTGTACCTGATAAACAAAATGTAGTTGTACAATACCTTTTTCTGACAATGTTTCATCAGCAGACCTAGACAGTGTGTGTTTACATGTACTTAATAATCTGATAACTGCAGAAAATCAGACTTTGTCAGTGATCCAATCAACATGTTTACATGCACTTGAGTAATCAGATAATGAAAACTCAGAGTCTACATGAGTCAGGCAGTAATTGGATTTCTGCTCTGCAACCGGCCAATAAACTAACAGGTAGACGTGATGTAAACGTAATGCACAACTCAACTTCATCCTGCTGGTTTTTTTAAAAACACTGAGCCACTTCACCTGAAAATATGAACACACATCTTGTAGAAGACGAAGAAAATTTAAATCCTTAATTTCGTCAAGCATTTAGTTGGTTTCAGTGTCGCTCCAAAAGTGTTTTGCTGCTATTTTGCGGCAACGCTGCTTGCTTATTTCCGGTCTGTTTCGCACACGCGCAATCTGAGAAATCCGAAAGAAATCCGAGTAAGAGTTTACATGCACTGAAAGATCTGATTACTGAGTTAAAATCCAGCTCTATTTATCGGATTTCTAGACCTTACTCCAATTTAAGAAATCGGAGTATGCTGTTTGCATGACCATTTGAATAATCAGATAACTGCAGAAATTTGATTACAATCAGATTAGAGTGCATGTCAACGCGCTCAGCGGGTGGAACTGGCCATGTGTAATTGAGGGAAAAATGGGTAAAATTCCTAAAAACATTAAATTCTAGTCATGACTTTGGAGGCTGACTGGCACCTAAATTTTATCTACTGTTACTTCATACTTTCTCCACACTTGTCTTAAAACGCAATGCTGAAAATGAGCTGTGTGAAGGATACGAATGATGCCTCAGGAGTGTTTTCCTTTTGGACTTTCTTCGCTTTGTCTTTTCTGAAAACCCTTTGGCAATTTCAAACAGTTTCTTTCTGGTGGCTGTGAAAGAGATGCAAATATGAAATTAGAAACGGCTTATACTGTCCTTTTGGAATTCTAAGAAAGAGTGTTTCCCTAAATTCCTAAATTCAGTTTCTCAGAGATATGGTCTCACATTTTCCCATGTGCTTGAGTTTGTCTCTGAACAAAGCATCATCTGACACTCCCTCTATGGATCCAGGAGTGTAGTGGTGGTCACCTGGAGCAATGAAGATGCATAGAATCATGAAAAATGCATTTGGTTCTAAACTTTAATAATCTATGACACCGCATCATAAGAAAAGCATCTAAGCTGGTTCAATTTAATCAGGAGCATAATCTACCTCTCAGTGGAGTTGTGGAGATGCTACTTATTATTAAGAACAACACATACACTATTGTTGTACACATAACAATAAATAAACCAAAACAAATGACAGCCACATATACTGTATGGCGCAGGTGGAGGATATTTACCTGCTGAGTTTCCAGCTGATGAATGACCTGACTTGGATTTCTTTGACTCATATTTCAGCCGATCTAAAAAGAAAGAAAGATGTCCTGATAAAAACAGCTGCCATGGACAGAAGAAGGTTGACCATTCTGAAGCTCACAATTGCACTACCATTCAAAGCTTGGGGTCACCATATAAATGTTTGGAAGCAATATCTTCAATATATGGCTGCAGAAAAATGTATAAATTATAATAGTTCATTCTACTTTTATAATAAATTGTATAAGACATCTAAGAAATCCAAGAAATCTAGACAGTACCAAGAATGAAGCTATAACAAAATTAACATTGAGAATGCATCAGATTTCAGACGAGTCAATTAACAAAAAATTGTAAATAGTTGAATTTTGGGAAAAAATTACAGCACATTTATAATTTCATAGCTTATTCTCTTTCCTAAAATTTTTAAAATATGAAATAAAAAATACATCTAAAAATACCTTCTGGTGTGTAACATTTAATTCTACACACCCTCTTCGCAGCCTCATGATATCTCACCACAACTCCAAACTTTTCTTAAATGTAGGGTGCATGTGTGAGAGTACATGAATGTACAAGAAACAAAGAGATGAAGTATATGTGCCTCGTTCCAGCGCGATAAGGAACTCCCGGTTGCGCTGCAGCTCCTTCATAAATTCCTCATTCTGCAGGAAGAGAGCGATGCGCTCATCCTCCAGGTACTGCTTCAGCTTTCGCTCCTGCTCAGACGCTCCAGACACTGCAGCGGCGCAGGCAGCCCGCTGCGGCACTGATGACAAGGAAGACGCTGAGGAAGAAGAGGGGTCAGAGAAACCACTCTGAGAGCTCTGAGGAGAAAAACAAGAAGGAATGTGAGAGTTTAAGTGAAACATGAAATGATCAGCACACCACTTACAGACCTATCTAAAATTATGATGAAGAAATAAAAGTCAATCATGTAATGATACAAGCTAGAGCGACTATTTCAGTTACAGTGAATTTACACTAATGCACCTGTATACTGTCTAACTGCTGGGGTAAAATTCGCAGGAAGTCATCCGGCAAGTTGCCAAGTAATGGAGGGTTCCAATTCCTGTAACTGCGGGTCTGCTGGTGCCCTGGAGCGGGCTGTGCTGGAGCGGGCTGTGCTGGAGCGGGCTGTGATGAAAGGGGCTGTGATGGAGGGGGTTGGGCTTCAAACCTGCAGTGACATAAAATTAAAAACTGATTTACTATACCTGTATTCAGTGGAAGAGCAAGCTCACATATTAAAACTGTACAGGCAGGAGTGTTGATAGAATAGATAGACTAACCCTTGAACTCCTTGAACCATGGGCTTATTATTTTATTATATTGTAGTTGATGCAATATGTGCAATAATGATGCATGAATGTGTTGGTTAATTTTGGAATTGTTAGTATGTAGGGTTTATGCATGCTCCTATGTGAATAGTGTTAATGTGTTGTTCTTTCTTAACTAGATGTTATAATACATTTTAGTAATTTTACACTTCTTGCACCATCTGGTACTGCACCTTACATTTCATTGTAGTGCTGTGCAGCAAAAATAAAAGCATTCAATTCTATTCTATTTAGTTATTTTAAAGTCAACCTCAAATCAAAAGTGACTTTTTTTTCACCTCATTAGTTCATGTCCCTGGTCTTATTAAACATGATCCACAGTATAATTTTTCCAAGACAAAATTCTTGTTTTTTTCCATCAAAACGTGTCTCTTGCCCACCTCTAAAAATTCTTCCAATTTTAGGCATGTAACAAAGGCAGAGCAGGTCGAGAAAAGTCATACTGAACAATAACATCATCTCCACTTTCATGACATTGTGGTTGACTTGGAAATTATACATTATGTTTTCTGTTTCCTGCTGGTATTAAGACTTATTATGAATTATTAACTACTATATATCCTATGAATTATTTAGTAGCTACTATGAAATCAATAAAGTTATGTAGTCATAAGAGTGAGGAACTGAGGAGGTGCCCCACTCCTGTACATTTTCATACTGCACAATAGCCACTAGCAGTGCCTGAAGTGGTTTAGTTATTTGGCCTCTATCTAACCACTAATTCATGGGCACTTGTACCATGAATAAACTGATTGAGACAGATACTGATTACTATCTGATCCTGTGCAAACAGTAATTATTCCCCTCACACACACTAAGACTGAAGGCCAACTGCAGGCTCCCGGCAGTTTGACTTATGAACACCAGGTGGCATCAGAAGAGAAATAGCTTAAAAGAAAAATGCGTTCTGTGGCTTTTGGTAGCCCCATTACATCCAGACCCAGAGAAGAGATTCCACAATTTTATGAACTCTGTGATCTAAAGAACTATGCTTACAGTTTGATTCCATTTTAAAACAAAGATTGGATACAAAATGTTTCTTCTCAGAATAAAATGTACAGTAACAGAGAAACAGAGAACATCATCCTTTTTTTTCTTTCTTTGTTTTTTTACCTGGGGGGTGGAGTAGGCGGAGCATTAGGATATTTCCTGTCATATATATGCATGTCATAGGCGGGCGGAGAGTAGACTGGAGGTGGCTCCTCGTCTGAGCTGTCTGGCTCAAGGGTTCTTTCTAGAATCTGATGTAGATTAGAGAGCCATACAACACAAAACAAAGAACAGGATATGCAATTAGCCTTCAGAACTCTCAAATGCCAAACAAAATAAAGAGAGATCTGAAACTGCCTTCTGTGAAACCATCATAAGAAAACCTTTATAACTACAAAAAAAAGCAGATCTCTGCTACAAACGAAAACCTGAATGTTGTTTCTGGCACCTTCTGTTCACAAATAATTCAGCCAAAAGTGGTACAACAGATATGCTTCATTGTAAGAGGCAGAGGGGCTACCTGTAACATTTGCTAAAAGTTTAGTAAAATGATGCAAACACTGTTAATTCAATACAATTTTATGTTGTTTGAAACCAGGAGATTTCCAACCCAAATACATAAAAATATCTGCATAATAAATAATGTGAGTAATGTGGCAAATTTATTTTTCACCGCAAAACAGAAGATCAAATATCAGCACCAAAATTTGAAATATATTTTACTGCATATTTATCTATCTACAAATTTGACAACTAACCTGTGTTTTAGCCTGGCTAGCTCTTTTGGTGAGTTGCTTCAAAACAGTGCTACATTTCAACCAACAAGACGGCAAATAAACGAATATATCTACACAACAAAAAATTATATATTTATATTTATATATATATATATATTTATATTTATATATATATATATTTTTTTTTTCATATATATATATATATTTTCATATATATATATATATATATATATATATACACACACACACACACACACACACCATGTACCTTTACTCGTACCTTTGTTTGTGCCCTGCTCTCTCTAATAAAAAAAGAAAAACATTCCTACTATGATACAGGTAAAACTGCCAAAGGCTGCAACTGTATTCAAACAGAAAAACATAATCTCCTAAAAGATCAGAATGATACAAGGAGACAATAACAAACCCCTAAATATTGAGGAAAAAATGCAACAACTTTTGTGTACTCATTGTGAATCATGAAGACACTACATGCATACAAAACATACTGCAGTTCATGCTTGAGTGGGGATTTAATCTAAGTCATGGCTCAGCATCTCCACTGAGCCATGAAAGAGAGGACTAATGCAGTGCTGAATGCGGGGACGGCAGAGCCAGAGAGAGGCTGCAGCATGTCTCAGCATGGAAAGGTTTCAGTGTATGAGCATAGCTGCTCAAACAGTGTCTGAAATCAGGGGAGACAGGCGAGAGAGAGCCCGGCTTGGGAGAACATCGATCATAATCACACTCACTTCAGCGGAATAATGAGATAGATGAGAAGAGACTTGCTGAATTTAGCCTATGTTACCATTTTCAACTGAATAAGCTCAGAAAAACTTGCATGAAGCTTGTGTACCACAAGGATGAAGCACTAAGGATGCTGCACTGATACAGGAATTCTATGATGTTTTTCATATTTATCTGCTGATGCCATAAACATTTATAAAACATTAAAATTTGGACAAAACCCACCTGGATTAGTGGTACAGAGAAATGTAACACTTGTTTTGTAGAGGGTCACAAATGCATTAAAATGAATAAAATGCATTTTATCACAGTAGCCCAGCATCGCCTAAACATTCCGCTATTCTAGAGGACAAAAACTATCATCAAATATCGGTTGAAAATCTGTAAAATTTAAACATCTGTCCGATGTCAATGATTTTTTAAAACAAATATCTGACATTAGCAATATGAATCTGATATCATCATGCATCCCTAATTAACAGTACTGTTATAGTCTTTCATATCATCAACGATATCTGATCACATTGCCCTATGGTTCAGGCATAGTTTGCTTACTTAAACAAGTGATAAACTGATTTAGATTACCATCTGACCAGAGGCACAAACAGTAATTACTTCCCTCACACCTTGTGATCCAATTTACCCTTTGCAAAATAATGCCTCTCACTGTCGTCTCTAAGCGCTACCTCCTCCATGAAGTGAAAGACAAACTTTGACACAAGTCCTCAGAACAAACCCGCAGTGAGAACGGGAGCGGCAGTAGTCAGAATTATTAGGCTATCAGGCTCTCAGGTTAGGCCATTAAGAGGAACTTAAAGTGTTGCTGAGTAAAATTTATTTCAGACTTATCCTGATCATCTGGAGAGTGGTGTGTTAATTCATTTCTGAAAAAGTTAAAATTTAAACTACACAGAAGACCACACAGGCAGCTCAGTGGCAACACTATTAATAGGCAGTCTTATATTGGCTCTAAGGTAAGCTAAACTTTATTTTGGTTTCTGTATTTGCTAAACAATTTTAATATTATGTCTAATGATAAATAATGTTACAGAACATTTAAGATCAGTTAGCCAAGTTAGATCAGTTCTTAGCTCAGCTATTGACAGTTAGCTTGATAAATTATATTAAACTGGACTGTACAGTGTTCACATCTGCAATTAAAAACATTCTGTGTAAAGCTACATTAACAATGCTCTATGTTCAGTGTAAGCTTCAGCATTAGCTCATCCAAAGAGGCAGCTCAAACTTTCACCTTATTAAACATTAAAACCTGCTGAAATCCCTGTTCTGATTAATGTAAACATGGTGTCCAAAGACCAATTTCAATTTAAATTGGTCTACATTCATATTTTCAAATCTCAAACATGCTTTCGTGTGTTTCTAAGTTTTACTTTGTGCTAACGAACCTTTTTAATCTGTTAATACACTTCAGTGTGCTGCACATACTACCAGGCAGTCTGGACAGCTTGCAACACTAACAAAGGGAGGCAGGACTTGTCAAAATTTTGCAAACTGGAAAATGCAAAAAAGTCATGAATTGTGATAAACCAATGACTGGTCATGAGCATCATATCAGCTCTAGCATAGTTGTCCTAGTGGACAAGAGCATATGGTGTGTTACCTCTGGTGGGATGCTGTCGTCAGAGTCTGAGCTATCGTCCGATCCGTTGCCCTCAATGCTCATCTGCAACAGCTGGTCAATGGTAGCATCCACCGCCCCATTGTTAGAGCGCAGAACACACTCGATCACCTCGTAGTCCATGCTGGGGAACATGGTTTTGAAGTCCTCCATGGCCTGGTTGAACTCCAGCCGCCGCACCTGTCGGTTGGACCTGCTATTATTGAGCTCTCCGGTGGTCGAGCCTCCTCCGCTGCCGCCACGAGAGCTGCCATTGCTGCTGCTCCGTCGAAAGAGACTGGTCATCCTACAGGGACGTGTTTCCTGCCTGAGAGATTACACCACCCACAAAGTGATGGCGCCAAAACGAGTCTAACTATAACTTTTCTCTTGTGTATCCACTTGGATTTGTCTCAAAGCACCACAGCTTTTCAAGCCAACTTTTTCATCACTCTGGAATTATGTGAGTCCACTGAGGAAAGAGAAGGCCTTCTTTCTCTTTTTCTGCTTGTTCAGCTGCATCCAATATAATAGTAACGGAATGGCTGCAAGGAGAAAGTATGGCGTCCAATGTCTTGTGGCCTAGGCCTCCAGATAACGTTGCCAGTAGCTCTCCATCAGTTCTTCTGGGTCTATAAATGAACGCAGAATGGAAAACAAAACAGATGAGAAAGAGAATAAGACAAAAGAACCTAGGACACTGGGACTTGGATTCTTTAGATTTTTCATCTCTCATTTGCTTGCTTAGGAAAACAGTTTATTTTGAGGTTCATGACTATGACAGACTATTCTACAAAGTGCTGTATCCATGGAGAACAGAACTGATGACGTGCATAGAGAACTAAGCAGAAGGAAAGAGGCTAAAAGCACAAAACCTCTAATGAGTCACCTTCTCTACAAGGTGGGAAAAAAACAGAGTGAGAAATTCAATAAAAATATGTACATCAGTGTTCCCCAGGAAGCACTTCTTCAGTGAGTGATCATTCAGGGAGTTACAAAGCAACTTAAAACATCCTTGTTTCCTAAATTCAATCTCCACAGGAAACCTTAGGACCATAAGCATTCAAGAACCAAAATCAGAACATGGCTTTCTAAACTGCAGTGCAGTAGTCGACTTGTTACCCATTAGGATGAAAATTAGCCCACATAATTTAATAACCAGCTAATTTCCGTTTATCAAAATGAGATCAGCGTGGCCTATTCATCAGGCCATTTTGCTCTGTAATGGTTAACAGCAGTCATTTAAGTTCATTTAGCATAAGAAGAAAAAGAATACTTCCCATAGGGATAATATTTTACATGCTTGTCTTGCAAGTGTGGTTTTCTTTTGGCTTTTCCTTTTATTTGACAAAATTACAAATAAAATCACATGCAATAACTTTCTTTTCTCCTGCCTCCACTTCAGAGTGACTCTCAAAATTACTGAAAGAAAACATGTTGCTATTAATATGTATCCTATTATCATTTTTGTGAGTACTTCTGCTGATGCTTCCAAGAACATCCATCTAGTAATAAAGAACAGAATTTGCCACCATCACACACACACAGACACACACACAGACACACACACAGACACACACACAGACACACACACAGACACACACAGACACACACAGACACACACACAGACACACACACAGACACACACACAGACACACACACAGACACCCACACATATATATATAGAAATATATATAAAACACACTGGTGAATCACTATGGTTAAACATCAAAAGAACCAAAGGTATAGCTCACAGAAGAAGAGCTTAGCTTAGATCACCTAAAATGGTGTTTGGCTTTTCTGAGATTATTATTAATTTTATTATTATTATTTTTATTTATTTTTTTTTCACACTGGGCTGCATCAGATTAGTATTAGGCCAAACATGTGTCTATGAAACTGCTGGCTAACACTGCATTTTAGTAGCACAGATCAAGGAGCAACAGCTGCAGTTACAAGTGATCCATTATCCTGAAAGTGAGCCATTACGGAAGGAAAAATACACAGTGCTTGAGTGGCATTTCAGCCCAATAGATGTGCAGTGTGCAAAGCTAGCGAACATTTTCAAACTGCATATTCATACATAGTATATAGTATATATGGCACATGTTCTTCCCTAAAACGTTTTCAACAATGAATCAACAGGGGTGTATATATATGAAAACCAATTTTTTTTTTCTCTCTCTCTCTCTCTCTTTTATTTTTATTTTTATATATATATATATATATATATATATATATATATATATATATATATATACATACACACACACACACACACACACTATATATAGATAGATAGATAGATGTGTGTGTGTATATATATATAAAATAATAAAGAAAATATCAAATATCAAAAAGGCAAACTTTACAGAAACAAACGCATATTTAGCTTTACCTGCACTTTATCTACTCCTTGACTAAAACCGAATATCCACTTGTGCTCTGTCACCGTCTAGAAGGCCAGCCCATATCTTCTTCCAACAGGAATGTCAAAATAGGAATTCTAAAAATGTGGGAGTCTGTAGAGGTCATTGAAATTTCCCTGTGATGGTCTGTTCTGTTCCCCTTGGCCACTTCAGTGCCCCCCCCCTGTCAACCCCCACTTCTCAGTGCTGGGTAGAGAAATCCCTGCTCTGGGGAAACAATGCACCCAGCCGAGCTGAAGCCAGGCCCACATGGCACTGCCAGGACCCAGAGCACTTTGCCAACCGCTCGTTGGCATGGAGATACTTTATGATGTAAACAGGATGCTTTGTGCAAAATGAGAATATGTAGTCCGTGTCCTGAAGTTGTCTCTTAAGGACAGAGCTGTGAAGCTGTGAGGCAAGCTGTAGTTGCCTGGCCATGCCTGAGGCTTGAGATTTACTCTGTATTGTCTGAGATTCTAAACTGGAAGCCTCCGATTTGCATCTCATTAATCATTCTGTTTGGGCACCATGATGCCTTGACAACACACGAAGATGCCTTTAGAGAGAAAGGCCACCAACAACAAGTTCAACAGAGGAAAGGATGAGCACTTTATCTATTACTGGCAAGATTTAATTTCAATTAGAAGGAAAAATAATAAAAAATGGAGCAGTTTCTAAATAAATTAGAGGATTTTATAAATGTCTTCTTTTCTAGGCATAACAAAGCAATGATTCAGGTCAATAACAATCAGAGTGAGACAAAACACTTTGAAAAAGAAATGATGGCTGAATACTAAATACACTGTCCTACATGTATTCAGTAATGTATTCCGTCACAATACATAAAAAGTAATGTATTCAGAATACAAACTGGTAAGTCACATGGGAAAAACTGCTGCTGAAATTTTTATTTAATTCACACGGTTCCTCGCTGTTACTCATTGGCAGGTTTCTTCATGTAATTCTTCTGTTAATTTGTTTCATGAAAAATTCTCTTACGTAAATGAAGTTACAGTACTCTTTTGTCACTGAAAAACAAACATTAACAGTCTCCTAAAAAAGTAAAAAGTTACTGTATTCTGATTACTACCTTAGAAAGGGTAACTTAAACAGCACTGTACAACAATTCCTGAAGATCAGTGCAGGTTACGAAGTAAACTCCATTTATTTATAAACTCATAAGGAGCTCCAAGTATGTTCGATTCAAACTGGGGGTTGGCGACATGACAAAAATACAATATCACGGAAAGACATTTTCAAGATACATGATATTCACTGGAATATTTTGTTTTCCTGAGGTTTGGTAAGTTGGAACACAGGAAAAAAGAACCAGAAGTGCCACATACTATCAAAACTATGAATAAAATGATTTTTATTCAATAGTTTACAGGACTAATTATGCTAAAATTGTAATGGAACATGCAGTTGGTCAGTGTTTTGATATTGTTCTGACCATATTAAACCTATACTGCAGCATGACGAGAGCGATAAAATATCGTCCTATTGCCCACTCCTAATTTAACCTTTCAAAACTGTCTTTTACTACGCAGATCTTTTACACTTCCACACAAAAGCTAACATCTACATAGCTTCTTTGTTTAAATCTTAGTGTTTGAAAATTTGCGCTCCCCTTTGACACAAATACGTAGCTCTCTGTCTCTAATGGATATTTCAACAAGGAAACTCTGCCTTAAAAGGGCTCCTGCCTTAGGAAGCAGGAAATGGGAAACAGGATGCCACACAGTATGCTAAAATGTGGAACGTGATACATCCACACAACATGCTGAAAAAAGACACACTGCTAATGACTTATATCAACCTCTAATAGCACACCACAATTCACTCGAGAAGAACAAAACTGATACACACTAACAAAGGATGAGGCTACTGATGGGCCCTTCTTGAGATTTTCAGTCTAATATTGAACAGTCCTGGTTTAAAAAGAAACCACTTATGAAAGACACTGGGAAACGGCCTTAAAAACACTTGTCAGGTTCCATCAGTGCTGAAAGACCAGACTGAAAGCTTCACTGTGCCCTCGCCATGCACTCTCCAGTTGTTCAGACAACACTATATTAATCTGCGTTTGAGATCCTGCTATATTTAGCAATAGAATCCAGAGCTCTTTGTCTAAAGCTGTTACAGCAATGGCGAAGTGGAGCTCCTGTTAGCTTCAGAGTGAAGCTTCGTCTTTACTCACTTCACAAAGTCTTCATGCTGCAGCCACGTCTTCCTTGTAAGCTTTGCTGACTAATCTAAGGGACCTAAAAACAAAACTGTCAAATTAAATGCAACGAGATTATAAATACCATCCTTACAATTAGAATCAGACTGTTCCATCGAGAGACGCTGGGACTTTTTTTTGTCAATATAATCGTCAATATATACCAGACACATAAAGGATAAAGAACAGCACTGTGTTCATGTTTTAAAAACCTATGGCTTCCCTGTTCTTTACTCAGAAATGTATCACATAGACACAGATGATTATCAAACGGAAGCAGGCTTGCCCTGTCCAGACTGTGTCCAAATAGATTAAATCAGTAACACAGAGGCAAGAACTACTCAGAAGCCAAGACAGGCCTGGACTATCGAACTAAACTGATTTTTCCAAAAAGATTAATTCCACTACCCTTACTGCCTTACACCACAACTGCAGCTCATCTTAGCATTCAGAAGAGAAAGAGCCTACAACAAAAAACCACATACCACCACACTAAACAGTATGTCAAAAGAGTATATTATAGCAGTGTATTCATTACACTATAGGAGTATAGTGTAATGTGTGTTTTTGGCCAGAATATTTGGAGGACTAAGAAGTTGGCTGGGTGTTTCCAACTACATAAAGGCAAAATACAACCTACTCTTTCAAATCTGACCATAATAAACCAAGCAGGCCTGTGACCTGTAATGTACAGTCGATCCAACTAAAAATAGCATTAATAGTGTTAAAAAAAATAAAAGTAGTATCCATTTAAGTGAATGTAACTCCAGAATGACTGGCCACAATAGTCCAGCAGTAGGTATGGTCTTTCTGTTTGGGTGTGTTGTTTCATTGGTTGGTGAGTGTAGCAAGTTTGGGCTTCCACAATCAATAATGTGTAGATTTTTTAGGTAAAAATAAGAGTACATTTTCTTAAATGTGAGAATATACTTCTAAGCGTATGTATGTGTGGTGTGCTTTATCTAACCTACTATAAGTACCTGTGGACAACCATGAA